AAAGCAATATTATTCAACACAAACATCTAAAATAAAATTCACAAGAAAAAAACTTTAAAATTAATAATTAATGGTTAAACACTACCAATAATTTAATAAATCATTTTTTTTTCTAAACAAAAAGAAAAAGTTATTAAAAGAATAATCATAAATGAAAATAAGAACCAGCCATCAAAAATGAAACTAAAAAATAAGTTTTTAAAATGGATTAGGTAAAATTAAGGAAAACAAATTATTTGTTAAAAAAAATAATCCATTCAGAAGAGGGATCAGATAGTAAGAGAAGAAGAGCGCTCAATTGTCGTAACAGGCTGAGTGTAACGCTCTTCTCGCATGTAATTAGCGAGTAATTAAACCACTCCTCATTTTCCCTTTACCTTGCCTGATGGATCATGTTTTTACTCTAACCCCGCACAAAGTAAGAAAAAACAAAAAAAATAAAGAAAACCAAACCAAATCTGAACAAGAACGAAAAATAAAACTTAGATTTTGGAGAACGAAAATTAAACTTAGATACTAACATTATATTCATACCAAGCCAACAACTTCTTTCACTTGATATTGTTTTAAAAAGCAATATTCCCAAATATTCGACATTCAACACAAACATCTAAAATAAAATTCATAAGAAAAAAAACTTTAAAATTAATAATTAATGGTTAAACACTACCAATAATTTAATAAATTGTTTTTTCTGATCAAAAAGAAAAAGTTATTAAAAGAATAATCATAAATGAAAATAAGAACCAGCCATCAAAAATGAAACTAAAAAATAAGTTTTGAAAATGGATTAGGTAAAATTAAGGAAATCAAATTATTTGTTAAAAAAGTAATCCATTCAGAAGAGGGATCAGATAGTAAGAGAAGGAGAACACTCAATTGTCGTAACAGGCTGAGCGAAACGCTCTTCTCGCATGTAATTAGCGAGTAATTAAACCACTTCTCATTTTCCCTTTACCTTGCCTGAAGGATCATGTTTTTACTCTAACCCCGCACAAAGTAAGAAAAAACAAAAAAATAAAGAAAACCAAACCAAATCTGAACAAGAACAAAAAATAAAACTTAAATTTTTTTAGAACGAAAATTAAACTTAGATACTAACATTATATTCATACCAAGCCAACAACTTCTTTCACTTGATATTGTTTTAAAAAGAAATATTCCCAAATATTCGACATTCAACACAAACATCCAAAATAAAATTCACAAGAAAAAAAAACTTTAAAATTGATAATTAATGGTTAAACACTACCAATAATTTAATAAATCGTTTTTTTTCTAAACAAAAAGAAAAAGTTATTAAAAGAATAATCATAAATGAAAATAAGAACCAGCCATCAAAAATGAAACTAAAAAATAAGTTTTTAAAATGGATTAGGTAAAATTAAAGAAAACAAATTATTTGTTAAAAAAGTAATCCATTGAGAAGAGTGATCGGATAGTAAGAGAAGGAGAGCGCTCAATTGTCGTAACAGACTGAGCGAAACGCTCTTCTTGCATATAATTAGCGAGTAATTAAACCACTCCTCATTTCCCCTTTACCTTGCCTGAAGGATCATGTTTTTACTCTAACCCCGCACAAAGTAAGAAAAAACAAAAAAATAAAGAAAATCAAACCAAATCTGAACAAGAACGAAAAATAAAACTTAGATTTTTGAGATCGAAAATTAAACTTAGATACTAACATTATATTCATACCAAGCCAACAACTTCTTTCACTTGATATTGTTTTAAAAAGCAATATTATTCAACACAAACATCTAAAATAAAATTCACAAGAAAAAAACTTTAAAATTAATAATTAATGGTTAAACACTACCAATAATTTAATAAATCATTTTTTTTCTAAACAAAAAGAAAAAGTTATTAAAAGAATAATCATAAATGAAAATAAGAACCAGCCATCAAAAATGAAACTAAAAAATAAGTTTTTAAAATGGATTAGGTAAAATTAAGGAAAACAAATTATTTGTTAAAAAAAATAATCCATTCAGAAGAGGGATCAGATAGTAAGAGAAGAAGAGCGCTCAATTGTCGTAACAGGCTGAGTGTAACGCTCTTCTCGCATGTAATTAGCGAGTAATTAAACCACTCCTCATTTTCCCTTTACCTTGCCTGATGGATCATGTTTTTACTCTAACCCCGCACAAAGTAAGAAAAAAAAAAAAAAAAATAAAGAAAACCAAACCAAATCTGAACAAGAACGAAAAATAAAACTTAGATTTTGGAGAACGAAAATTAAACTTAGATACTAACATTATATTCATACCAAGCCAACAACTTCTTTCACTTGATATTGTTTTAAAAAGCAATATTCCCAAATATTCGACATTCAACACAAACATCTAAAATAAAATTCATAAGAAAAAAAACTTTAAAATTAATAATTAATGGTTAAACACTACCAATAATTTAATAAATTGTTTTTTCTGATCAAAAAGAAAAAGTTATTAAAAGAATAATCATAAATGAAAATAAGAACCAGCCATCAAAAATGAAACTAAAAAATAAGTTTTGAAAATGGATTAGGTAAAATTAAGGAAATCAAATTATTTGTTAAAAAAGTAATCCATTCAGAAGAGGGATCAGATAGTAAGAGAAGGAGAACACTCAATTGTCGTAACAGGCTGAGCGAAACGCTCTTCTCGCATGTAATTAGCGAGTAATTAAACCACTTCTCATTTTCCCTTTACCTTGCCTGAAGGATCATGTTTTTACTCTAACCCCGCACAAAGTAAGAAAAAACAAAAAAATAAAGAAAACCAAACCAAATCTGAACAAGAACAAAAAATAAAACTTAGATTTTTTTAGAACGAAAATTAAACTTAGATACTAACATTATATTCATACCAAGCCAACAACTTCTTTCACTTGATATTGTTTTAAAAAGAAATATTCCCAAATATTCGACATTCAACACAAACATCCAAAATAAAATTCACAAGAAAAAAAAACTTTAAAATTGATAATTAATGGTTAAACACTACCAATAATTTAATAAATCATTTTTTTCTAAACAAAAAGAAAAAGTTATTAAAAGAATAATCATAAATGAAAATAAGAACCAGCCATCAAAAATGAAACTAAAAAATAAGTTTTTAAAATGGATTAGGTAAAATTAAGGAAAACAAATTATTTGTTAAAAAAGTAATCCATTGAGAAGAGTGATCGGATAGTAAGAGAAGGAGAGCGCTCAATTGTCGTAACAGACTGAGCGAAACGCTCTTCTTGCATATAATTAGCGAGTAATTAAACCACTCCTCATTTCCCCTTTACCTTGCCTGAAGGATCATGTTTTTACTCTAACCCCGCACAAAGTAAGAAAAAACAAAAAAATAAAGAAAACCAAACCAAATCTGAACAAGAACGAAAAATAAAACTTAGATTTTTGAGATCGAAAATTAAACTTAGATACTAACATTATATTCATACCAAGCCAACAACTTCTTTCACTTGATATTGTTTTAAAAAGCAATATTATTCAACACAAACATCTAAAATAAAATTCACAAGAAAAAAACTTTAAAATTAATAATTAATAGTTAAACACTACCAATAATTTAATAAATCATTTTTTTTTCTAAACAAAAAGAAAAAGTTATTAAAAGAATAATCATAAATGAAAATAAGAACCAGCCATCAAAAATGAAACTAAAAAATAAGTTTTTAAAATGGATTAGGTAAAATTAAGGAAAACAAATTATTTGTTAAAAAAAATAATCCATTCAGAAGAGGGATCAGATAGTAAGAGAAGAAGAGCGCTCAATTGTCGTAACAGGCTGAGTGTAACGCTCTTCTCGCATGTAATTAGCGAGTAATTAAACCACTCCTCATTTTCCCTTTACCTTGCCTGATGGATCATGTTTTTACTCTAACCCCGCACAAAATAAGAAAAAACAAAAAAAATAAAGAAAACCAAACCAAATCTGAACAAGAACGAAAAATAAAACTTAGATTTTGGAGAACGAAAATTAAACTTAGATACTAACATTATATTCATACCAAGCCAACAACTTCTTTCACTTGATATTGTTTTAAAAAGCAATATTCCCAAATATTCGACATTCAACACAAACATCTAAAATAAAATTCATAAGAAAAAAAACTTTAAAATTAATAATTAATGGTTAAACACTACCAATAATTTAATAAATTGTTTTTTCTGATCAAAAAGAAAAAGTTATTAAAAGAATAATCATAAATGAAAATAAGAACCAGCCATCAAAAATGAAACTAAAAAATAAGTTTTGAAAATGGATTAGGTAAAATTAAGGAAATCAAATTATTTGTTAAAAAAGTAATCCATTCAGAAGAGGGATCAGATAGTAAGAGAAGGAGAACACTCAATTGTCGTAACAGGCTGAGCGAAACGCTCTTCTCGCATGTAATTAGCGAGTAATTAAACCACTTCTCATTTTCCCTTTACCTTGCCTGAAGGATCATGTTTTTACTCTAACCCCGCACAAAGTAAGAAAAAACAAAAAAATAAAGAAAACCAAACCAAATCTGAACAAGAACGAAAAATAAAACTTAAATTTTTGAGAACGAAAATTAAACTTAGATACTAACATTATATTCATACCAAGCCAACAAATTCTTTCACTTGATATTGTTTTAAAAAGTAATATTCCCAAATATTCGACATTCAACACAAACATCTAAAATAAAATTTACAAAAAAAAAAACTTTAAAATTAATACTTAATGGTTAAACACTACCAATAATTTAATAAATCATTTTTTTCTAAACAAAAAGAAAAAGTTATTAAAAGAATAATCATAAATGAAAATAAGAACCAGCCATCAAAAATGAAACTAAAAAATAAGTTTTTAAAATAGATTAGGTAAAATTAAGTTAAACAAATTATTTGTTAAAAAAGTAATCAATTCAGAAGAGGGATCACATAGTAAGAAAGGAGAGCGCTCAATTGTCGTAACAGGAGCGCTCAATTGTCATAACAGGCTGAGCATAACGCTCTTCTTGCATGTAATTAGCGAGTAATTAAATCACTCCTCATTTCCCCTTTACCTTGGCTGAAGGATCATATTTTTACTCTAACCCAACTCTAATCATTTTATAGCCAGCTAATAATTTCCCAACTTCACTACTTAACCGATGTGGGATATTTCTCAATTTCTCTCTTCTTCACTAAAACAACCCAAATTAGCCATTGACGGTGAAGCATTCAATTTTTTTTCGAGCATGACGACTACTACAACGACGACGATCTCTCAGCATGATTTCTACAGTGATGGAGATTCGGAAAAGTCCATTTCTGTATCTGTTATTGAGGTATTAAGCTCTCACTGGCGATTTGTAATGGAGCTTTCTTCTTCTTCTTCCGTGGTTGATTTGTGATTTTTGTGTGTAGAATATGAAGGAAGAGTATGGTTTGTTTGTTTGGCCATGTAGCGTTATCCTCGCTGAGTATGTCTGGCAACAGAGATCTCGATTTCGCGGGTCTATGATTCTCGAAGTAAGCAACGACTCTCCTGTTTGCTCTTTGTTTTGATTTTTGGTTTTGATAATAGCGACTCAGCTGGAATCGAGAACAAAGATTGCTGATTCGAATTTGTGAACCACTGTGTGATTTTGCTGATTACAGAATTGGGATTATGTGTGACTGTGTTTGAACTAATCGAATCTCATGTCTTGTGTGTATGATGTATCCTTAAATGGCTTTAGATACTTTATCTTAGAGATGTGTTGATGGAATTTGTAGCTAGGAGCTGGCACTTCCTTGCCCGGTTTAGTAGCTGCAAAAGTCGGGGCTGATGTAACCCTTACCGATGATTCAAGTAAAGCAGAGGTATGAGAATGTGTTGATAAGCTTTTGTTTCATTTGGTTCAGAGATTATGAGTTCATTTTGTTAATTTGATTATACATGTGAAGGTTTTGGAGAACATGAGAAGAGTGTGTGTGCTTAACAAGCTGAGCTGCAATGTAATGTATACTACCATTTTTCACTTTCTTCATAGTTCATAGCTTCATATATATGTTTGCATCTTTAAGATATTTGTTTCATGGTGTTTGCTGTGTTTGGGTTACCATTTACGTGAGTCCTCTAGCTTATTCGTTGAGAATCTGGAATATTTCCTACTATAAGTTACTTGTGGTTTGTCTACTGCAGGTAATGGGACTCACTTGGGGAGTGTGGGATGCACCAATATTTGAACTGCGGCCTAACATTATACTTGGGGCTGATGTTTTTTATGATTCAAGTGGTTGGTTCATCTGTTTTCTTTGTCTTAGCCTTTTCTTTTTGCTGTGTGGAGTTTTGTGACTGCTCCTAGTTTATTCTTAATGTCATACCAACGTCTGTTTTGTATAGCGTTCGATGATCTCTTTGCCACCGTCTCGTTTCTGCTTCAAAGTTCTCCAGATGCTGTTTTTATCACTACGTATCATAACAGGAGGTACACAACTCTTGTTATTTCATTCCTCCTGGTCATCTAACGTATCTGCAGAGGATAGTGGCGATTTTTTTCCCCGGTTTTCATATTTTCCTGATTTGGTTTTTGCAGTGGACATCATCTAATCGAGTTCCTGATGGTGAAATGGGGTCTAAAGTGCGTTAAACTTGTGGATGGTTTCTCATTTTTGCCATCTCGCAAGGCATCTGTACTAAGCGGCAACATTCAGCTGGTTGAGATCATATTGAGTTCTGAAGAACCAGCTGCTTAGGACTCCTACAGCTATCTATCTGACTGGAATGATCATAGCCAGAGCCCAGAGGCCAAAGGTATGTAACATTTTTAACATTATAAGATACTCTGTAGCCTGGAGGGAATTAGTAATGATCATTAGACCTGGGATTTTAGAGTTAATCAAGGGCATATACATTTAATTAGTTAGCCCTTTGTTTTTTTCAGATAAACACTGTTCTTGACGTTCATATATATATCAAGCAAAGCCTTGTTGATGAAGATATTAGCTTCAACTTTCAAGACCAGACTTGAGAACATTGGTGTATAAGCAAGATGAATCATCTGAAAGCTGCTCACCAAGGCAGCGCAGACATGGCTTATACTGAATTGACTGTTGTGATTATTGACCAAGTTAAGAATCGGTTGATAATCAATCTACCTACATTACATTAACATAGAACATTGACCATACGTGTGTGTACACCTTGAATCTTTGTTTGCTGTATCTTATATTACAAACTTAAATGTTCTCAAATGGTGTTTCTACTGATTCTAGCTTACACAACCAAGATTACATAACAAGGTGACAAGAACCTCATGAATCGCGTGCTAAACTTAACCAAGATTAGAATCAGAATCAAAACCATAACAAAAGAGAAAGCATAGAGATGGGTTTCACTTGAAAGTCCCTAAGAAGAGATGTACAAATCGAGCTCCGACTCATCAAAATGAAAACTAACTCTAAAATCCGATAAAGCTTACATAACTCTTTTGGATTTAGATTCATCTTCTTCCTCATCGAGTAATTCTCAAGAAACAGCGCAAAGGTAGCCGTGGAACAAACACCAGAATAAGACTAGAGTGGTCTCTCAAGTGTTTTCAGTGATTCTTAGCCGAGCAGGCTCTTCACTCTGTTCTTTCCTTCTCCAGAAGGCCCGTCTCCACCAAACTTCAAAGCCTCTCTGGATGTTGGGACAGTCTTTTGAATTCAAGAACCGATCAAACCAAGCTAGGAAGAACTCTTGTTGCCAAGCAAGAGGCAGAGTGAGAATGGTGTTGCTTAAACCATCCTCGATCAAATACCGATCAAGCCCTTTCGACGCTCTCTTCATCCACGGGAAATCATCGTAGAAAGGTGTCAACCAGTTCCTCAGCAGCAAACACCTCACTTCCTTCGGTGTCAGAATCTGTCCCTTTCCAATACCAACAAAGATCCTCGCTGTTACGCTGCTAACCTCATACCTGTGAACGACGGGAACCTTAGCATGCACCTCGGATAGCTCAGAGAGAGAAGCCCACATCACAAGAAACTCCTCAGCTATCTGTCTATCTATCAAAATGTCCAAAATCCAGTGCAGATTATCCGCTTGTCTCGCTATCTGATCCACATCCTCCAAATCCGACTCTGCCGCTTGTAGAAACTGCCGCTTAAGCTTATGCAAACACCCGTCACAGGCCAAGTACAACGACTCTTTCCTAAGATCATTTCCCGAAGAGTTTTCTCTAAGCATTTTGGAGACAAGTGTTTTCATGTCGCGCCTCGCTTTCTCGTCTTTGCCCTCGAGAACTATGTGCAGAAGGTTTAGAAGCACCTCGTCGTTGCTGCTGCCACCGTTACTTCCACTGTTCCCGTTGCTAGCGTCTACAGAAACCCTTCTCAGAACTTCTGTTGCCCCTACGTTTTCAAGGTGTAGCTCAGACAACAACGAAGCAATCCTGTATTCTTCATCCTCGGACCATGGTGCTGCTTCCAAGTACTCAAGACACGAAAGTACTCCAGCGTCGAACCCAATTGCTGCTGAAACCTGAGAGAACAACAATGGAAAATTTGCATCTGATGAACTAATCAACTCTTAAAGTTAAAACATACAGTGTAATTGCAAACATTGCACATGGAGTTGTTCACAATCATTAGCACATGGAGTTGTTCAGAACAAAAACTGGAAAGATTGAGTATTTCTCACAATACCTTCAAAATACCAAGAACCCTAGACACGTCCTGTCTCATCATCTTCTTTCTTAGATCCCTACAGTACATTAGCATCAGCGTCTCGATGTACACCTCAACGTCATCACAATCCGAAATCTCGACAATGTACGGGGAAGAAGACGGAGGCAGCTGCTGCTTCGACCATCGATCTGATAACTTCATAGCGAAAAACCTGCTGTGAGCTACAAGAATCTGCCTGTGAACGCACATCGTGATGCTAATCCCATCCTTAGAGCTCAGAGTCAGCTTAACATCACTCGAAGTCGGATCGTTGAACTGATTCCCGGGGCTCCGAATCACCAGAAGATCCGAAATCCGCTGCATTGCAAGCGCCTGCTTATCCTGAGCCGAAATGACGAGATGATTCCCATTCGTCGTCCTCGCAGCCACAGCCGCCGCCGAAGAAGAGGAGGACGAAGACGAAGACGGAAGCACGCCGTTCTGGATCTGAACCGGAACTCTGCCTATAGTATCAGCTTCGCTAGCCATCATCTCGAATAGCGTTGGACTTGATCGCGACTTGTCGAGCATGGCCGGAGGCGGAGGAGGAGACATTGGATTCAAAAGACCCGCCGTTAAAGCGGAGTTAAACTTAGTGAAGCTCGAAGGGAAGGAAGAGTCACGCGGCGAACTGTAACCGTTCGCCGTCTTAGACGCAGTCGTCGTCGTCGCCGTAGAGAAGTCCATAACCGGAGAGACGCAGACTTAGGATCCGAGCACGAACGTAAAAACGGGTCGGGTCGAAATTTCCGGGTTCAAAGGAGGAGAAACTGGTGGTGTAGTCACTAGACTCACTACAGAAGGAACATAACCGTGGAGGAGAAGATGGAAACCGGGTCGGTTTCCGGGTCAAAAACTCGGAATTAACGGACTTGACCCTGACCCGTAAACCCGAGATTTTTGTAGTTGGTCGTTTGAATCTCGTGATTGTAATTGATGCCATGAGGCATCGTCAGTGCCAGAAATGATAAATGCGCATCGCTTAGAATTTAGTGCAGATCTTTTTTATATTTTTTTCTAACGATTTTTTATATCTATTTAATTACTTTCTGCGATTTTTATCGATGGGTTTATCGTTATCGCTGTGGATATATTTGGGCTTTGGTTCTAACAAAGATGCGCATTGTTTCTCGATTTAATAATCATTACCCCATTAAAATGTGAATATTTAATGCTCTTATATTATTGTCCTCTGAATTTATTATTTCTTTAAAAAAGAAAAGGATGTATTATATTTGGAGAGGAAAAATGGTAAACTGTTTTGCTTGTCGAGAAGCGAGTAAATTTTTCAACGATTTTTGTTTGTAGTGTGGGCCCAAACCCAAATGACCCATGAGTCACACGACACTGTGATTACGATTTTTCATTTTGGAAGTATAGTGTTGGTCACTGTGGTGTGTTTCATTCACTACACTATCATCAATTCTCGTTTGATTCCATTTCCATCTCATAATCCTTTTTTGTTAGACTTAATCATGCAGTCATACTAAATTTTTAAATTTTGATAATGATTGGATATAATTTGACTTTTAAAGTTCTTGATCATTGTATTATCAAAGAAAGGGATGTAATACATGCAATATAGGGAAAGCTGATAACAAATCAATTTTTGACTCATTTAAGGATTTAGCTTACCTTATGGTCTTTTCTGAAAAATGTTTGTAAAATATGTGGTTCTGTTCTAGTACTCTACCGTGAGATTTTGCTATTTTTTATAGTTTTGTAATCAATAGTTAAATAATTTGCCAGAAAATTTTGTAAATTTTGAATATGATTGTGAATGTAATCCTCCTGTGGATACTTCTTTTTTCTTGAGTCGATAAATATTTATTTGCAATTATCTGCATTACACTTGTTTGTATCTTTGAATTTTACAAATTTTGAATATTGGGCTTGTAATCTTATAGGCCGAGCGTAATCAAGCAACAAAGCCCATATTTTATGCCCAATTGTATTCATATGAATGTATGTTCTTCTAACTTGTGGCCCAGTTCAAGTATGTGACATGCGCATGCTCGACCGAATAAAGTGACCTTCATATATCAAAAAGGTAAAAATTTGATATCTTTTTGGGGGGGGGGGGGGGGGGGGGGGGGGGGGGGGGGGGGGGTTGGGGGTAAAATATATAAAGTTTTACACCTTTTTCAGTTTTTGACATACAATATGACAATATGTACATTACAGCGATAACAAAGAATATAGAAAAAGACCAAAAACTAAGAAATCACAAAATGAATGATCTAAACGCAGAAGCTAGCTTTAATCGTGATGTAAGAATTTAATATTTGAAGAGAAAAAAACATGTGAAAAAATAAGAAATGTAGCTTTTTCTTTTTCAAAAGGATACAGGTGAAATTAGCAACGAACATTACAGATTAAGAAAATATTTTGTCAGTTCATATTTTAAAATTTACGTGTTTGGTGGGCGATAAAAATATGGGTTAATGAAAAAGTAATTTGTCACTTTGCATAGACAATCGATTCCACTAAAGCCTAAATTAACTATATCTAGAGATCCTTTAAGTAAAAAAAAAATACTATATGTATTATTATCTTGTACATATAATATCTTATAGTGATGATCGTTGACAAAAAAATATCTTACACTATACTATTTAAATAAACGACATAAATTTCTTCAATAGCTTCTTTTAATAACCGAAAAATTCCTAGATCGAAAAAACATGTATAATATTTATGGTTGAACTTCCTCGGTTTCCCTCAATGCATTTATATATTTCAACTAAATATATGCAGATATCTATAATATTTTACGTAATGTTAAAACAAAAATGTAAAAACAAAGAAAAGACATTGTTTGTTAAAAAATTATATTTATCAGAATGGAAAAAAGGTACAAAAAAGAGACGTGAATGGAAAGCACGTTAGTTTGCCTGGTAGAAGGAGAGACAATAGATTCGCTGCTTCAGGTCTTGTATTAGCTGTCTTTGTACTATTTCAGACAGTAACTCTTTTTTTTCCCAACTATTTGTTATTAAAAATGTTATTTTATACTTATATAAATACCATTTACATGATAAAAAGTTTAAATGGTGACTGTGTTTGTCGTAGTTAGCTAAACACAAACATATTTGATCATTTTTAGTATATAGTTTTCTGTTGATCATGAATTTGTTATAAAATAGAGAATTAGCATACTATTTATGTTTATTTACGCATATCAAATTATCATATGTATGAAAGTGTCCTTCGCCAAACATATATTGCGTTGCGTGCTACATAGCCAAAGTGTACGGTCTGACAAATACGGATGATAAAAATAATATGTATAAATGTGCTTACCAATAAAATAAAATTTTCATTTTTCTTTCTAACGAAAAGGAAAAGGAAAAGACATTCAGAAAATAAAAAGCCACGTGGTCCAAGTCAGTCTACATGACCAATCATTAACATAGTTTGTGACTTGTTCACCATTTGAGAAAATTAACTACAATAAAAATATAAATACAAATAAAGAGCTCAAATTAAAGAATTTATTTTTAAAAAAAAACCAGCGCCAAAATGCGGAGATTAGAGCTCAAATGTCGAATTAAGTTTTAATTTGGTTAAAAACTATATATGGAATAATGGAAGAGAGGTTGTAAAATGACATGCTGTACATTGGAATTTGGGATACTTTAGCTATGGTTTAGCTGGTCGTTTAAAATAATTTGTGTGATTAGTTGGTCGCTTACTGACAAAACGACAGTCTCTGACATGCAAAACTGGAATGAATTTTGTAGTTTTCCGTTGAATTAGCAGACAAGTTTCAAGTTAAAGATGTTTTATCTCTACTTTTTAAACTTAAAGCATAATTCTTGTAATATTTGTTTACTTTAATAATTTTACTCCTGCAAAGTGTAACAAAAGCAAAGCATGTTGCCACTACAGTAATCTCCGTACATCACCAATACAAATACAAAAAAAAATTATTCAAATACACATAGTATATTTTTACATAATACAACAATGCAAACCACATCTTAACATTTTACAAAATTTGGTAATCCAGATCACTATTGCTCGTGGTTTCTCTTCTAATCAACAGGAAGAACCAGCTGTAGAAGAGCCGAACCAAAAAAATAAGATGTCTTTTGGGAAGTAGTTGAAAAATAAATTCATCGGTGTAAATTATTTGTTGGAACATTGCTCCTAAGTAATACTCCATATAGAATAGTCAAATGAATATAAACTAGAATGTTTTCTTTGTTAGATACTTTTCCCTAAATTTTCTTAAACTGATTTGGTTGTTAAATTAATTGTCTAGACAAAAGGGATTAATCTTTGGCTGGATTTAGCTGGCCTATCTGTTAATATATCTCTAGTAACGCCAAAAATCTGACAGTTAGTGAAATATAATAGACACGATTTAATTATTCCCTAACCTTTTTTCTATGTATAATAATAATATATAGTATATACATGATCAGCTAGTGTGTGGTAAACTTTGATCTACTTAAATGTATGTGGGAGACAAATAGCCTGATGAACTTTGTACTCTCAAACCTTTTACCATGTGGTACTGTGGTGGCCTAAAGTTTTCAAAAATACATGTAATTTTTTATAAAAAAAAACACAAATCATTGGATTAAACATTTAAAATAAAAATTAATCGGGAATATTTATTCAATGAATATCATTCAGTATAGATAGATGCATGAACAAAGTGACATATATTAGTTTTAACAGAAATATGACATATATATACACAGGTTAATGTATATATTTGCAAAAAAAGTGTGAAATGAAGGAATGTGAAATGTTGGAGGAGAAGATGGAGAGGGTATGAGGTGGGTCAGTGCTGCTTTGGCTCTTTCATGCATTTTAGTCAGGTTTCCATATGACTCTCCTCCATCTCTAGAAATAGATCCCCAAATATTCTTTGTTAGTTAAAATTAATATTGTATTCTAGAAGTATAATAGACAAACGGAATCAAAATCGAACTTGACGAGCTATAAAGACTTTTCTATACGTAGTTAATTAGGTCATAATAATAGTTGTATTTATCAAAAGTCAATAAGTGATGAAGAATCATAATAGCAGATGACGAATATGTAGATTGATGATATCTCTACAAGTCATATGATTTGGATTTGGATTCATATTTCACCAATAATTGTGTTTAATTCATTGTGTTATGATATCCAAAAAAATTAGATTTGATTTGATAATTTATCATTCATAATATAAAAACCGTAGGTCTACACATTTTCTCTATAGAATATGTGTCATGATTGTATTTCATCAAATGCATCTGAGTGTAATATAAATCACATGCGTCTCAAATCAAATCAAAATTTGATGGTAATCAAAAACAGTTTTCTAAATTATGCACATATACTATAGCATAGTCTAATAGAGGTGTAGACAAATTGGAATGAAATGAACCAAACGACCTGCCTTTACCTCAACTACATTAATAATTCTCTAAAGAGAACAAAAGATTACCTCCAAGTCTTTTTGCAATTCGATCAGATGTTTTAAGCTTTTTAATTTTTGAATGAGTATTTTTTATTTTCCATAACTACTTAATTCGGGTTTTTCGTTCCATTCCATAATTTGGTTTGTTATCTTAATCACATCAGATGCATTTTTTCCTAACACATACAATTTTGTAATAATTAAACAACGAACGTGCTTGCAAAATTTGATTTCAAACCCTTTTTCAACAAAAAAAAAAATTTGAAGAGTAACAAATAGGTTAATTTCCAAACATATTATCTTTTTTTTTAATAAAAAAACATATTATCTTGGTTATCAAGAATGACAAGAAACCATTAGTAACTTTCTCTTATTTTTTTCGGAAGCATCACTAACATATGCTAATTTTTAAAAGGGTTAACTTTATTACGAGGCTGACTAGTTTGGCTTATTAGTTAAAGTTATATAAGTAAAGATAAATTCTTATATTGGAATGCCAGACTGAAACAACTTAGTTTTAGTAATCTTTCTTTCTAAATGACGTAATTTTCACTATGCATGTATATTCGTTTTATTACTATATCTTTATTTCCCAAATACATATATTTATATATATATATAACTTTATACTTCATATATCTATCATGCATACTTTATTTTTTAACAAAAGCTTTCATGAATACTTGTTTTAACGTTTTTTATTAATATAGATGTCAATGTAACAAAATCGTAAATAGAACGGTAAAGGGTTAACTAAAAGAAAAAACGAATCTTGCATGCAGCAGAAAAAAAGGTCCAACGTATTATAAATTGAAGTTTAGTTTGTTTATTATTGTAGGTAATTTGAACAAATCCTACCAATCTTACGCGAAAAGTTTATGGATATTTGGCATGCAGAAGAAAAAAAATCTATTAAAAATTATATAAAAGCAAGTCAATTAGTCTCTATATCATAACCCAAAGAAACATCATCACCACATTCCTCGCTACATCCATAATTCACCAAGCCAAATAATCAAATAGCAAAGTAAAACGCGCAAATAAAAAACACATTATTGATAACGACTATTAAATTAACATGCAAAGCAATAATTAATTAATTAATCACATCTGTACTATACACATACACACCCAACTATATATAAATCCTACCCTCCTCTATCTTTTTCATCACAATCCAAAACTCTCCTTCTCTCTTCTCCCTTTTCTCTCTCTCTCTCTCTCTTTCTTACAGTTTCTCTCTCTCTCTCTCTAACGGCGAGTAAATGGGTTTTCCGGTTGGCTATTCCGAGCTCCTTCTCCCTAAAATCTTCCTTCATTTACTCTCTTTCTTAGGTCTGATCCGAAAACTAGTCTCCACAATTTTCTGGATCATTGGTCTACCTAATTTCTTAGAACCCGACCCGGTTTCAACTCCATGGCCCGAGCCACCACCAAACTCCACCACTTCAAGCCACGGTAGCCACCAAGACTCTTACCTGTACTCAGCAGCGATACTAGCCGGAGAGATCTTGCCCGTTGTTCGATTCTCGGATCTAAACCGACCCGAATCCGAATGTTGTGCAGTGTGTCTTTACGATTTCGAAAACGACGATGAGATCCGACGGCTGACGAATTGCAGTCATATATTCCATAAGGGATGTTTGGACCGTTGGATGATGGATTATAATCAGATGACGTGTCCACTTTGTCGTACGCAGTTCATACCTGATGATCTTCAAATGGCGTTTAGTCAAAAGCTTTGGTCTGAATCTAGTGAAGTTTCTGAACTTCTTGTTGAGTCAACTTAGGAGGACGTAGTTTTTTTTTTATTTTTTATCTTTTGAAATGGTAGTGTAAAAATTATTTCACTTTCCTTTTTAGTACTTTGTTATGAGTAAAGGGGTTGGTGGTCGAATGATGTAAAGAAAATAGGTAGCATTACAGGGTTAGTGAAAAAAAAAGATGAAAATTTGTATTAACTATTCCGAAAAAGAGAAATTAATTTTTGAGTTATTATAAACTTGTAGACTCATTTTGTTGTTCTCGAAATTAAATAATAAACTTACTCATTAACAGATGATTAAATGTGTTGTTTTAATTAATAAAAAATTGTCATATAAAAAAAACACAGCATTTGTCCAAAATATATTATTCTACCGACTATAAGGACATCCTAATTCTTTGAAAATAAATTTTCCATGGTTGGATGTATGGTTTATTTATGATATTCATAATATAAAAACATTTCTAAAGCATTTCTCGAGGTTCAACGCAAATTATAAATCCGTACGCATTAGAAGAACTTAAAGCATATGATCATCAAATGCTTTTTCTCTAATGTTTTCCAGAACCATGCACAACTTAATACCTCTATACAACTTAAAGCATATGATCATCAAATGCATGAAAAGTTGATCAGATGGTTCGTGGATGAACCTACTACTTCCATAGTTAGCTTTGATTTGCGAAATATAAAAGTGATGACACAATTACCAGAGAAACTTCTCTGCTCTTCAATAAAAAAAAAGATTCTAAGGACTAATACATATGGCCATGCAATGAAGTGCATCATAGACCGTTGATTGGATGGGATATTTTTGACATATTGCATTTACATTATTATTAATTCATGAATGCTAATTAAACACCTAGAAGCTTGTCAGATATTGACATAGTTTTTGTAAGTGTCTATATTAGTTTTTTTCTTCTAATTAGGATAGTTTTTTTTTTCCAATTATTTTGCCTGATACTATATGTTTTGACCTATTGAATAGTAAAACCGAATATTTGGGTCGCTCCACTAAAATTAAGAATACTGTTATTATTTTTGTAGGCATGTTTTCCTTAATTTGGTATTATATCAAGTTTAATTTACAAAGTTTAACCTTTTAATATCTAGATTAATATGTGAACCGTGTACGTATAGGTCATTGTCATTGAGGATATAGTTTGTTTGCGGATCTTTATGTCATGCTGAACTAATATATCTCACCAAGTATTTGAAGTGTTTGAACACATGTACATCCTGTAACATCCCTATCCAATATCTATACATATACATAAATATTCTTATATATCACACTATATTTAAACCATGTACGATTAGTTAATACTACTTGTTTCCAGCTCGATCAACCATCGCATCTTCTCATTCAGTATAGACTATAGAGTATTTTTGGTTGAGGGGTTTGTGTTTTAGAAAATCAAGTTAATCATTGAGAATTAGTTAGCCAAACAAAAGTATGAATCATTGGTAAAGCAATATATATAAGACTTTGAAGAGTTTTATAGAAAGAGGTCCAAAATTCTAACTGGTTTTAGAGCAGAGCGTGACGCGGAGAAGCTTCGCATGTGTTGGAAACTTTGGAATATGTTATGCTGTCGCCACGTGGCATACGTGGACTTGTCTGTGCGTGTGCTTATTTATTTCAAAACCAATACTAGCCCACACGCTTCTAATCATTTTGTTGCTTTCGGTTTACCACAAAAACAAATAAAAATACCAACATTTTAAACTAAACTTGTATCTTGAAATAGTGAAATCATGAAGCAACGAAAATTATAATTTCACTATAGTTTCAAAGATTAACAATTTTTGTCACAGAAATGTAAATGGCAACTAACAGGCTATTCTAAAACAATAGAATATATAGAAGTAGAACCGTTTAGATCTTGTAATCATTCCATTATTTTTGTCTTTAATTAGTTCATTGTTTTTACATGTTTTTTCTTCTAAATTACATACGTTATTTATGGTAGGTTTATAACCTGTTTTAAAATTTTGAAAAGTGATAAAGTTATTGTAAGTTTCATGGATTTTATAACACAAAACCGAAGTAATGGAACTATTGTTTCAATTAAAAAAAACAAAATAATGATTAAATTACATATGTCTTTACATATTATCTGTCATCTACATTTGCACGTCTCTTCAAAATAATGACTATTCTATTTTATTTTGAACTGATTTTTACTTTATAAACGAAAAAACTATATTTGGGCGATAGTCAAATTTAAATTCTAATATCTTGTTAAGTTTCATATAAATTTTCAGTTCAAACCAAATTGACAATGAATGGTTTGATCGATATCATTAATATATTATTTAAAATTGCTTCATATGTGAATTTTCTTTACAGTTATATAATAAATACATAAAATAAGCAAAATTATTTGAGAACACACTGAATATTCTAACTGTGGTGGGAGAAGTCGTTTAATCAATTGATAGACAACTCTTCAAACATTTGTTGTGATTGACCCACTTTGACTAAAAAGCGTAAAAGCAAGAAAAAAAGATGGTATGAATGAATCATTAGCTTTATATTACTTTTGTTTCGACATTTTTATTAGACCTAGATAAACTTCCTAACCAGTATAGCCCATCCTCGATGGTTTCATGCCCACCCTCGTGCGCCAATGGGATGAAAAGAATCGATAAATTAGCTAAAGTGAGCATATAAAGATATATTGTTAAAAGATGTAAAAACAAACCAGGTTCTGCAAAGAAAAAAGCCTACTCCGGTTCGCAATTTCGCATGCAGCTACACTATCATCAATCTTTTGTAATAACAAACGTTACCAAATATGATCTGATCGTAAAAGGTTATTTTGCGATGATAATCATATGTATTTACGTCATTTTTAGTGTTTTTGTTCTATTATATATCTTCTAAATGATACAAGTTCAGTTTTCCAACCTTCTTCTTCAAAAAAATACAATAGTCATAGTATACAGTATACGTTTTGGTTAAATCAAATTTTACATATTAAATACACTTCAACTTGTATTCTTCTTGCGAACAAACACTGCCTATTATGAGAGGGCAAAACTGAACAAACAAGGTTACGAAAAAAAAGCGGTTCTGCAGATTTGAACCGGTTGGTTAAGAAATTGCGAGGAAATCATAATTCCGAGAATGCCAACATAAAAGAATAAACCCACACATCAAGGTTTTACAATTTCGGTTCATCAGGTAAATGGGAGAAAAGTACCAACAAAATCAACACAGCAGATGATCCAAAGCTCTTTAAGGTATGAAACAAGTACTGATGCTTGCAAAGAAAGAAACCGCATAACATAGGGAGATAGCTGAACAACATAACAGTTCTGCACACTTATACCGAGTAACAAACACACTTTCACACAGAAATTGAAGATATCGGTTAAAGGTTTCTTAATGTTGAGGATAACCGGGAGGCGGGTAGCCTTGAGCGGGTGGGTAAGATGCAGGCGGGTATCCGGCCGGAGGAGGGACGGGTTGATCAAACCGGGACATCTGCTGAGCAGGTGGCACGCCCATTGGTTGAGATCCAAACACTCCATCTCTTTTGTCCATTTCAAGCTTGTGTTGTGTCTGCAAGAAGAAGATCGGGTTTTTGGTTTATATCTACCATAAGAAAAAGAGAGTTTCAGAAGCTAAAAGATTAGTTTTCGTAGTTCTCGCTTTCTGGTACCTGCATACACGCGCAGACCCTGCAAGAAAATCAAGACCGTGCGTTAAAGTATTACCAATGCGTTAACGTTGATAGATTAGAGGGAAAAGTGAAAAAAATCACATGAAGTATATACTTACGTGCAGTAGACCATATCAGCACAGCAAGAGAGTATCTGAGAAGCCTCTGAAAGTTCATTGCTACCAACAATGCAAGCGACTATAGAGAATATGCAAGCGACTTGGCTGAGACAGAACATAAATCCCTGCAAACGTTCAAAGGGTGGAATTGGTTTTGAATTGATTCACGCAAACATGCTTTCTGTATAAACCGGTAACACTATAAGAAGAGTAAGAGAGTATGAAAGTACAATTATGCAATTGTCGCATTGTGTTGTCTGGATGTTGAATTCGTCCTGCAGAAGAAAGCGGGTAGAGGCCACAGAGTTTCCGAAACAGAGGAAAACCTGAAAATTTCAATTGCAAGTCGCTTCAAGAAAACGTCGAATCATAGAATCATCAAGAAAGCGACTCATGCAAGCAAGTTTTACAAGCCAAAAATGTTTAAAACAACCAGTTCATACACAAAAGACAATGTAATCTCCGAGTCAGATAAAATAAGCAAAGCAATTCGAATAAAGAGCATACAGAACACATCAAGCAAGGAACTGATTTCTATTTTCTAGAAAAGGGCTCTGACGGAATAAAATGCCACAGCAACAAACACACAGCTAAACGAAAAAGAAAGATCAAGAATATACTCAAATCGTAAGCTGTTTTGATGTTCTCATTCACATTTCATTTTGATCACCTAACCAAGAGGTCTAATTAACTGAATAGTTCCATCAAAACGAGATATTATGGAAACTTCACCTCGGTGGCAAGGCAGAGTTCAGGGCATTTGCTTTCTCCACACCTTCCACTACAAGGCATATATCCAGCACAGCAAGTATACCTGCGAAAAAGAAACAGAAGGACTCACAATATCTTAGAAAAGGAAGAAATAAAACCTTTCGACCAGTAATCTCTACATACATTAGAAATTTCATACCTTGACATGTCATTGTAAAGTGCTCTTCTCCGAAGCAAGTATGAAACACAAGGTCCACTACAATAATAAAGAACATATCAGATGCGTACCAAAAATATACAAAAGATCAAACCACATCAAACAATCATTGGAATAAGAGTGATAAAGAGAAATGCACTTGTTCACTCATTCATTCATATTTCATCCTACAAAGATCAGCTCACGAATCGCGCAATTGTCTATACCCTTTAGAGATTTAAGTCACTAGATCATCCAATACCAAAATCACGAAAACAGGATTCAAACTGGTTCAGTATCTGCTGGTTTATTTGATTGCCATCATGAAGCTAATTTTATTATATGATTGCATATCAAAAAGATAAACAATATTTGAGGTTAAATGAAAATGAAGGAAAAAAAAAATGATGCATAAAGAAATCGAAAGTTCGCAACTTACCACAGACACGACAAGCAACAATCTGCAAAAACAAAAACAAAAATGTATTTTAAAAAAGGAAAATGATTTCTCCAATTAGAGAGTGAGAGAAGAGAGAGAGAGAGATTTACAGGGCGTATCGGCGGTGACGGTGCCCATGAGATCGGAATGCCATAAATTCCGGTAATCCTGCCGGAGCTTCATCTTGTCGAGCTTCTCCTGCGACCTCGCCATTACGAAATCCCCAAAACACAGTTCCTAGAAAATTCAAGAAAACCTAAAATCAGCAACTTATAAATAAGCGATAAATCGAATATCTGTTACAGATGGTAATTAGGATTTCACGCGCAAACCTCCGATTAAGCAAATCAGAAACTGAAACTGAAGCTTGCCGTCACTTCTATCGTCTCCCTCACTCTCTCTCCTTTTAATTATCTTTTCAGCGAAGAAGCTTAGAAAAATCAAAAGTTTGACTACAACTTTTTTTTTGTTGGACCAGTTTGACCTCGAAAGTCCGGTTTTAATTGGTTGAAATTTGGACCTTCGGGAATGCTTAAATCATAGTAGAAGAAATTTGAAAATTGATTGCGGTTTTTTTTAGATCTTTGGGCCAGAACGATCCGGCCCATTAACGCTATTGTAAGAGGAGGTGAGATGATTCCACCATATGAGTGAGATGGTGTTGTGTAATTAACCGTTAAAAGCATATGGCCAATTATTTGAGGTTATTGAAGAACTCTAACTTTTGAACTACATTTGATAATTGTTTAGCCTTAATACATGTTCTTGTGCTTCATCTCAAGAAATGCGCCAATGATTATTGATGCATGATCCAATTTTGAGACTTGATATCAACAAATTTGAAAAATATCAAACTTTCAAAGATGAACAATAATAACTTTGTATTTAGAAGCTATGCAACTTAAAATGTCTAAAACCGCTTTACAAGCGTGAGATTTTTTTCAATTTAAGATTTTGCACTGTACCAAGTAACAAAGAACGTTACAAAAATACAAACAATCGTATGAATATGATATTTATCAGTCTAAACAAAGTAACCATACGAAAAATAAACTTAAAGATATTTGGTCAGTTGCAAAATCCACTGATAGTCACAGATTAAATTTAAGAAAATATTATCTAACGGACAAACAAAGAGAATCTTATTAGTACAGCTTCAGTCATAGATGTGAATTATCGAGATTGAGTGAGACGGAATCTAAGATCACAGTATCAATCAAGCAGACGAGAGAAGAGGAGAACATCTTGGTGTGGTTTTTTGTCTGAGCAGAGTCTTGAGCTGAACCTTTGGGCACTCGAGCTTCGAACCCCATAGCTCACTTTTTGATCTTATTGCTCTCATAACTCTCGGAAACTCCACAAACCCTTTGATCCCTCTCTTTATATGCGGATTCTCCAACCTCCTACTCGCCGGTGAGCTAAGCGCTCTCTCAAGTATCTGTGGTTTCATCTCCTTGTCTCTTCTTTCTCTGTTAGATCCCTCTAGTTCAGATAGCTTCTCCTCCAAGAAAAGTCTTGCATCAGACAGCTTCATCTGAACTCTCTCTTCCCTCAAAACCTCAGCCAATCTATGCATCTGTCTCTCTTCCTCAACCTCTCTCCTCATCTGAACCATCTCTGATTTCTCAGAAGATCTCTCTTTCAAGAGCCGCTCGTATCGCATCTCCTCTGCTTCTCTACACATTCTCTCCTCCTCCAAATCTTTGACCAGCCTCTTGTTCAACAACTCAGCTCGTCTTCGAGCTTTCCTCTCGTAGTCCAGCTCGCCTTTAAGCTCCTTGATCTTGCCTCGAGCTTTGTCTAGTTCAGATTCCATGAACACCCTTATGAAATTCAGATCCCAAATAAAAGACTTGCGTTGGTGTTGTTGATGATGTTGTTGAGACTCCTGTGAAGAGCAGAAGTAGTAAGGGTTATCATAAAGTTTCCAGGTTTTGCAGACTGAGTCCATTTTATCTTCTTCTCGTAAGCTCGTACTGTGAGGATCTGTTGTGGGGATTCTCGTCATCATCGTTTCATGACTCATCTCCATCTTCATATTCTAGCTTTAGCTGTAAAAAGAGGTGGTGAGATGTCATTTCTTTTATTATGTATTTGAGTATAAATGAAAAATGGAAAAATAAAAAGTAGGGTTCTTAATTTAATCTCTCCACTTTTAGAAGATGATGGGAGTGTGTTGTAAAGCTGAAAGAGTCATCATCATCACATATTGTTTATCAGCTTCAATCATTCTTTCTTTTTAAGAGAGTAAGTAATAAAAGAAAGCAGAAACAGAGTCTTTCTTTACTATTTAGGTAAACTAACAATCACAGTTTAACATGTGAAAACTAAATGTTTGTTGTATAGATCTCATCACGATTGTTTGTTGCACCAACAACTTCCCTGTGCTTTCAATGAATCACACCTCTCAAATCACACTCTCCTTTTTCTTCTGTTTGTACTCTTTTGACGTGGCCCATCTATACATTAATGCCTCATCTCTCCTAACTTGTCTCTCTCTATCAACTATCAAAAGACTATATTCAATGCTCTCTTATATGATTCCTCGTGCATACGAATCCCATCGCAATATGAACATGTGATTCAAGAAAATAAACAAACTGATACACAGAGAGAGACGAGTAAGCTCAAGTTTATTATCAGATTCTTTCACAACTCTACATTGTCTGACTTTTTATGTGTATGTGTTTTGGGAAAAAAAGTATGTATAAATGTATATTCTCTTGGAGATAGCAAATCTTGCTGATCCAATGCCACTCATGCTTGTAGTTTAGGGCAGATCGGGGAGCTTGGATTGGACATAGAACCTGCATGCAACATCATTGTCTTAGATTAAGATTAGATACATACTAGCTACATCTATTGCAAACTGATGCTACTTGTAACACACGTACATATGTCTGCTAAGCAAGGTTGCTTTGTGGCTGGATCCTCTTCAAAAGCCGGAGGCACTTGTCCGTATATCATCTCACAGCTCATATCTTCAAAATCTACAACAACAAAAAATGGAGGAAATGAGCAATTATGCAAAACAAACCACAAATGCAGAGGAGGAAAGGATACAAACTTGGGTTCATGGTGAGTGGGAGGCCAAACTCATTGGTGAAGAAATCTTGAGTTGGGATCTTGCACATATTCACACACATTCCTACACACCCACTGTTCTCAAGATACCTTCAAATCAAAACAGTAGGAACAAAGTCTGTGACATATTCTGAACATGACAACAACAAAAAGAGTAGTCAATATGAATAACAAACCTGCATTTCTTTATACGAACACCACTTCTCTGTTTCACACCATTCACTTCAACTTCTATGACCTCAGAAGGACCAACCAACCAGTGAAAGAAAGGCACCGTAAGAGCTGCGTTGAACTCAGAAGCCCATTTCGTCGGTGGGAACAGTTTACGAAACTGTTCAGGAGCGCCAGGTGGAAGCATTGAGAGAAGAACCTCCCTCACGGCTTCTTGCTGCTGAACTCTGGATCGTCCCTGCATCACTCTCTTCGAAACCTCCACGAAGCTCTCGTAGTCGTATTCCCAAAACCCTTTCTCGTTCTTGTTGTTCTTCTTAGTCTTGGACCCACCAAACTTGTCCATCTTCCTCGCGAACAGCCCCATGAACACTCTCGCAGCCAAACCATCGTCGTATCTTGTCTTCTGACCCATCGGAGCTGGCTCTCCGCTCGGCTCCGCGATTCCACATCGAGTGATGCCACGTCGTCCGAAATTCAGATGAATTGCTTGGAGACTAGCAATAGCCGCCATGGATAAGATCTCTTCTCTGTCTCTCTGTCTCCCTCTTCCCTACCAACGTACTCTGTTTTTCACTACATTTTTGGCCACACACACACGCCAAAGGGTGAGACTGAGAGAAGATTCAACTCACAACTTACAAGTGTCCACTTTGTCTGCCTCAAAAAGCAATTTCACTATAGTTTCTTGCTACTACATTTCTGTGGACTAAAAACCACTTTGTCATATTATCTGTTTTACGTGTTTTTTAATTTAATTTTATTATTATAATTCATTCACACACAAGATTACACGCGTGTACGGATGGAATATGGAATTAGGATCATCTATACGATTCATACAACGAGTCCCGGAGCTCTCGGGTCTTAATCTAACTTTACCAAAGAAGAAACAGAGGAGAAATCAAAATTGTGTGACTTTGAGGAATCAGTCAAAAGAATGATGGAAAATCAAAGCTCATAAGCACAAATCTTAACAGTATCAATCTATCTCTTATGTACAACGCTAACTTAGATGAAGAACTCAAATTCAAGATGATGATGTGCTTGCTCCTTGAACCTGATGTACATACCAAACTCTTAAACTATCAACCGCACAAAGCTAACTTACATCAAGAACTCAAACTCAAGACGCAACCAACTTCTCCACAGCCAAGATCTTATGAATAGTATTGAGATAAGGATGTGATTAGATACAATTATACTTAATTCTACCTTTTTCTCCTAATTTTTGGACACAAACTCATGTAAGAAGTGATCTACAAAAGGAGATATACTCATCTCCTCATCCTTGCTGCTTTACAGCGAACAGCCTCCAAAACCCTGCTATACTCAAAGAACAGTGAAGACTCGGCTCCTTCAAGTCCGATACGACTAACCCGATTAGCTCCTGAAATGTTGTTACATGGGCTACCGCCTATGACAAGATCAAATCCTCCATACTCGTCCATAAGCTTCTCAATCATACTGTGGCGAAGCTCTTCAATATCTATGAACTCTCTTAGAACGCCATGTTGACGAGTGTTGGCCCAGAAACTACGCAGTATATCTCTGTTCACCTTAGAAATCTCAACAGACACAACTAATTTCATCGGAATTCCAAGGCGGTGCAGTGCAACTTCTCCACCGCCTATGCCCGTGAAGAGTGACAGAACCTTTATTCCATTCGGGAACAAGGGCTTAAGGACAGACAAGTGATATGCAACTGTATCAACCTAAATAAGAAAAGAAAACAAGTTTATACCACCAAAGACTTTATAATTGAAAACTGAATTACCACAGAGCTCTTAGTTATAGATTTATACCTGAAATGAGTTACCTAGAGACGTGTAGCGATCAGTGAAACTAACTCCTCCTCTAGTATGATATTTCGGGAAACCAAGAAGCATTTCTATCTCAACAGGTTCAAGCGGTGCAACTCTGTATTTACCGACCCAGACCAAATTGAATTTCCTGCATTGATCGACGACAGATTTCTGCACCTTTAGATCTCCATCATGTTCCTCAAGATCTGAGCGTATTTTGTACGTGACCTTGGCACTACCGCTGATGCCAGTTCGCAAACAGTTCAACTTCGTTCTTTTATCCCAAGTGGGCCACCACTTCTTGCACAAAGGAAATGCTTCTTGAATAGTATATGGTTGCCGAGGCTCTATCGCAAATCTATTATGAATCGGAAGGTTATGAATATAACCTCTCTTCCTTGCAGCTGCACAGAAGTACATGGAGTCCACAAACTCAGGCTTGATACCATAGAGATGCCGGGAGATTGTGGTCCAAACACCTTTAGGTGCCATTGCGACATTCTCATAATAAAAATAGGGCGGCCCACGAGCGATATCCGGAATTGGTTCTGGTCTCTGCGTCATAAGCCCAGGTTGGTTAGGTACACCAAACCCAATCATTGGGTTCGGTAGACGCACTTCATCACCGCACATGGTAGTGTTCGGCATGCTCCTTCTCGGTTGGTCATTAACTGAGCGTCTCTTCTTGGTATTAGTTATCGGCTGTACTCACAATCAAAAGGTTAAACTTTTAAACCAATGATTCTTCATACAAGGATGAAAAAAGCTGCAGCTCTCTTTAAGAGACTTAAACTTATTACCTTTTCTTCATCAGGCTTTACATAAGACTCATCAAATTGTCGTGCCATCCGAGCAGCCAAAATGAAATCAATGACTTCTCCCACACTTGCCTTTTCTCCTGCAGAGTCTAAGAAGAAACATGAATAAGTTGCAAGGACACTAATTGCATAAATCCATGTACACATAACAAACTTGAGATAGATTAATGAGAAACTATGTTGTGTATCAAGAGAATAAATTAGCGTGAGGTTACCACATATCTCTATAGCTGTAGAAGCTTCTTCCCTTGGATAGCCCATTTTGATCAAAGTTTGCAATCTGCCATCTTCATGTGATGAGTTTAGTTCCATCTGTCATTTTTCAAAATAGATAAAAAGGCAATGTTATACAATCTTCTTTGCAAAATGTCAAATATTGAGAACTTCATTCATTGAAACTAAAAGAAAGTAATAGAGACAATATTAAAGCTGAGCAACATTCTGAAACTTAGGAAAAAAGCATGACATATACCTCTTCATCTAAGGATGATAGACCATTGTTGATGTCCTCATCCTGTGCTTCACTCAATTTTTTAGCCTCCTAGGAAACAGTAAAAAGTCATAATACATGAAACATTAAATGAATGTGTTGTATGCTGTCAAAGATACAATAGTTAGAGAGTCTACTTACTGCATAACTTAGGAGTGCATTTGTTATTTCATCTACATTTTCCTCTCCTGCATATTATCAAAAACAGTTTTAGATGACTGCAATTAAGATTTCCTATTCCTTTGAGATTTAAAAGAAAACAAGCAATAAGTTTTTAGTTATTACCATATTCTTGTACAAATTTGATCACCAAATCCTCAGAAAAACCCATACCAATCAGATAATCTATAACAGTAGATTTGGAAGAACTGGCTTCAGAATTTCTCTGCACAAAGAAAAGAGATTACATACATATACCAAACAGACTGTAGTGACCAAAAGTAAAGAACAATTGAAAATTGCAACTAAACATAAGAGAATCAAACAAAAGATACTCACAGAATGCTTGATTAGAGTTTCAAGTATCACCATATGATCCGGATTCTCTCCTGCAAGTTATTAACATTTCAATTTATAAACATACTCGGGAAACGCAGGTCTCAGATAATCACACACAAGAAGAAATAGTCTCACCGCCGATTTCTTCAATCGCTCTACCAATCATTTCGGCCGAGAATCCCATATCAATAAACTTAGCCACTGTCTCATCGGAAATTCCCACATGAGCTACGTTGGTCTAATGTATACGCAAACACAACAAAAAAATCAGATTATCATTGTTTTCCCGAGGAACAAGTTAAAAAGTTTTGTTCTTTATAGAATCCAGAAGCAAGCACTTACTTGAATCCAGGTTTCAGACATAGAATCGTCATGAAAAGATGAATCGTAGTTATCGATTTCATCATCTGTATTCCAATCTACATCACTATCAGAATGTTCCGCCTGAGAGAAACATAAAACATATAAAAAATTTGTTAGCATTTACAAATCCAAAACTACTATTATTAACTGAGATTATAAAGGTGTGCCATTAACCATTATCTGCAGATGTATTTAGCACTGTCCCGAACAACAAACCTGCCAATACAACATCGGAGTGTAAATTTTGGATAAAAGCTGACGAAAGAAAAATACAAGACAAAAACGATTCTTTCAAAAAATCAAAGGAGATAAAATGAAAGATTAGATAGAGTTTCTGTGGAAAAACTGATTACCAAAAATTGAGAAGCTTGAAGTCGATTAAAACACATGCAGGTACTGTATGTGAAAAAAGGAACACCGTATTAAGAAAATCAATGAAATTTTTAAGAAGAACGCCGTATTTTGGCAATGGCGAAGGGTTTATGGTTTTTTAGTTAAATTTACAAAACAAGCTTGTATCTTTCCTCTTTTCACCATTAAAGCTCAAACATTTGTTTTTATTAAATTAAACCTAATATCATAAATTTTATTACTCAATTAAACACCCCTCGTCTTGTTTTAAAAACATTATATAGCTTTATTTTTCATCCATATTACAATTGATCGAGAAAAGAAGTAGCGATGAAGATTTGGATAACTCGGATAATGAAAATTATTATCCAAAACATCTTCCACAACATAAGAAGAATATGCGCCGTATTGACCCTATTTCAGATTCAAAACACTTGGTTTCATTTTCCTCTTTATTTTTGGGTTGCCAAACATTTCGGCCCATATACATATCGCAAGGCTGAACTGGCAACTCCGGCCTAACGTCAGCCCATATATTTTGTATAAAAGCTTCTTTTGTTATATATGTCTCATCATTTAACTATTTTAAATATAAGGTATATGTCATTTATTATAAATATTTTTAATAGTTGAAAAAAATTACTAATTTAATAATTGAATATTAAAAATTCATGTTTATTTTACTAAATTACTAAGTTCATGTACTAAAATAAGTAATTTTCATCTAAAATTTGTTATTTTAAAATTTTAGATGAAAATAGTATTTTACTGAGTATTTTACTAAGTAAAAAAGTTTATTAATTATAAATTATTGTTACTAATTTAAAAAAATTATTTAAAAATAAATAAAAATAAAAATAAGTTTAGATGAAAATCATACAATCTAGAATGTATTATAAATCGAAATTCATATATCCAGATACCATTTTGAGTAACAAAATTTATTAATTATAAATTATTTTTTACAATAAGACATGATGTTTTGCCCAAAATATAACAATAACACATGGGCAATAATTTTGTTCTTTTTAATACTTTAGTTTTACATAGAAATGGAAAAAAAAAAAGATAGTCAAGATAAATTTTACCGAATGTAAATTTGATTGGTGACATAATCATGGCACTGGCACAAATTGGTCCAAAGTCCAAACTATTAATTAAATGTAAACATTGGGGGCTAAATGTATAAATTAAAAACATTTTATCCGCTATATAAACATCTTCCACCAGACCAAATAAACTGGACCTGTCATGTCTCGCTTCTGAAATCAGAAACTAAGAAAAAGAAAACCACTTTGTGAGAAAAAAAAAGAGTGCAAATTTACAAAGAAAAGTTTTTCCCTTTTGCCATTTTTGGATTCTGGTGGTTTAAAAAAAAAAACAAAGATCACGAGTGTCACTTGTGTTTTCTGTAACCGTTTCATTTGGTCAATTTAATTACAGAGACAAAAAAAAAAAAAGACAGAACAGAACCCAAAGATTCAATTGTTTTGCTGTCTTCACAACTCCTCTTCTTTTTCTTCTTCACTGAGAATTTAGAGTTTGTGTCAAAAATGGATTCTGATCTTTATATCTTTGATGGGTCTTCATCGTCTTCCTCAATTTGCCACCATTCAAGTAGTACTGATCCAGAAATGTTTTCTTCCGACACAACAACAACAGATCTCTTCTCCAACAATCCTTATCTCAATCAAATTGATGATCAATCCCTTAATTTCTTTGAAAGTTTTACCCCTGCGACTCATCATCTCCTCTCTTCTTCTCCTCCGATATCTCAGCTCCAAACCCTAAACCTCTCTCACACAAACAGTTTCCCCAACTTCTCTGGTTTCGAAAGCTTTGACTCCGTCAAAACAGAGGAGCTCGTGTTCAATTCTCCGTTTGATGTTCCAATCATGGAAGATTCCTCGAATTTCCAGAATCAGAATTTATTATGCTCGCCGGATTTCTCCTGCTTCGCCGGTCACATGCGACGAGTCTGCAGCGCCGGCGATTTGCAGGTATTAATATACTATTCAACCCTCTGTTTTCCTCTGTAAGTTCAACAAAAAAGAGTGATTTTTTGTTTCTTTTAAGAATCTGAGGAGGGATTTTACGGGGCAACGATCACACTCGAGTCCGTTAGTGGTCGAGAGCTCATCGGCGATGCCGTTTTCCGGAGAAGAACAGAGTTTGAAGCTGGGGCGTTACAGTGCCGAAGAACGTAAAGAGAAGATTTCAAAGTATAGAGCTAAACGAACACAGAGAAACTTCACCAAAACCATTAAGGTAACAGTAAGTTATAATTCATTCCAATTTCAACAAATTAATAATTGTTCATTCCACTTTAGCTATAATTTATTATTGCTACACGTAAATTAATAAATAAAAATTGAAAGATATCTATTGGTTTATAGATTTTAATTAATTTGTAAATCAATGTATGGTTTGAAAACTCACTCACTTAAAAATAACATAACGTGGATTTTAAAATTACATAACTGGTATTAAAAATATAACAAGGTTCATCTAGTATTTGAGAATTTATAGGTTTTAACTTGAAAACACTTTTAGTAGATTTAATATTTAATCTAATTAAAATCATTAAATTAATAACACCATATTTTAACTAATATTTAGAAACAATGAAACGTTTAGTACAAATTTTTGAAAAACTTTTTGGGTACATGTTTAAAAAATATATAATTTAGAAAAAAACATTAATGGTTTATTTTGCTCAGATTTCCAAATAAATTAAAATCAACTTACCACCAATAAACTCATTAACATCTAAGCAGTCAAACTAAATGCATTTTGTATTAATTTGGATAATTTATAAATTATTGAATATTTATAGTTGTGTCGTTATGATTTACTTGTATATATTGAAGTATGCATGCCGGAAAACGTTGGCGGACAACAGACCAAGAGTACGTGGCAGATTTGCACGAAACGACGAAGTTTTTGAGAACCCCACCGTCACTAGACAAGAAGACGACGACCTTTGGGTAATTAATTATCTACCAATTAAATGACCAAACTTACTTTTTCTTCCTCTTAAACTAGTTTTATTTCACGACCAAAAAAAAGGTTTCGTCTAATTAAACTGAGATTTAGTTAATCTTTTTTTTTTGGGGTTAAAACTGTGACAGAATTTGGATGGGTTGCATGATGAAGAAGAAGCTTTTGTGAACAGCTTTGTGGAGTGTCAGTCTCAGTCTCAGCCTCAGTTGCAAATGCAATACACAACGCCGTCATTCTGGTGAAAGCATCTGTCTGAGAAATAAGAGCTGAATATTGTTTTTCGGATTTAAATTAATATGTAAAATAGAGAGGAATCGAATCGGGTCATAATATTGGATATTTTAGTTTTGATTCTCGCGTTCTTCAGAAAGCAATAACTATCCGATTATATGACTCGATTATAGTACTGCACCAGAATAAACAATTTAGTAAATATGGATATTTATCTTTAGGAGAATAAAAATAGTGATTTTATAAGTCACTTAGTGATAGTGTCATTCATAGTGGTATTGTAGCTTTTTCATTTGTGTACTTTAAAAATATTGAAACTGTTTTTCATTTGCTTTTTTATATAAAAACTAGATTATGATACGTGTATTAATATAAAACGTATTATTGTTATAGTTATTTAGATTTCACAAAACTGATAATCCGTATAATATTGATCTATATAATTAGATTTTGGGTCAACATCCGTATTTCATGCAGATTTTTCATTTTTTATTAATTATATATCAATAATTATTTTGTTGAAAATGTAAATACACATGTAGAATTGATTTTTTCAAAATGGAAATATAAGATAAGTTATATAATAAATAAATCGTGTTGTAGATTCTTTTTTCTTTCTTGATAGTGTTTTAATTTCGAGAATTGCAAATGTTTACTTATAATATACCGAATAGAAGGAACGCAAGCACGAGGTGTTTTTTTTTTCTTTCTCAGTATGTCATTTACTATTTAGGTGCCGAAATGTTGTCTGACGAGAGCAACCTCTTCATATAGAGTTAACTCACTATATGGAATAATTGTTGTCGCTAAAAATAAATCGTGCAATAAATTATTACCATTAGGAAAAATCGTTGACCCTTGAAGGATGATTCCACGGTCTCGTACATGTTAAATTTGTAAGGATTTAAATTATTGGACTATTTAACTATTTATCTGATCTTAATTTGAATTTGAATGATGTGAAGATTAGTATTTTAATTTTTAATAATCCGAATCATTGACAGTAGTCAAAACATTCTTTCCTTTTAAATATCATGGGGATGGGGGATCAAGATCCCCTCTCGTCACGTTAATATGTATTTGAATTAATTAACAACTTAAAGAATCATATTTCAAGTATAGCGTAATATGTACAGGAACTTTGTCATAGTATATTAATCTGCTAAAGTTCAATGTCTCGTTTATTTTACAGCCATCAGCAGAAATTTCACTGTACACATATCAAAATTCCTGAAGATGAAGTTGAATTTGATAGATGTGGTTTTTATGTAGGTTGAAATTGAATATAGTGATTCAGTATGTGCATAATTTCATAAATACAACATATGATTTTAGTATGTGCATAATTTTATAAATACTATGTAATTTTTTATAAATTGAATATATTAATATGTTTATATTAATATATGATGTTGAAAAAAAATTGCAAACAACTTGCAAATACCAACTTGCAAATTCTAGTTCTACAGTTTCTGCTTTCGAAATAATTGGTTACCTAAAAAGGAAAGATGATGCTTTGCGATGGAATATGTTCCTGAGAACATCTATTTTTAACTTTTTGAATTAGTTTTATGTTTTATTATGAAACTAGAATACACCAGCATTATTCTATGAATGCGACGCATTATTGCATTAATTTAAGGACGAACCAAAAAAAGATGAATGATAAAAAGTTATAATTTAAGTAAATCGGTCAACCTCAGATCATAGTTAAATTCATATATTTGATTTTTATAGAAATTTACATTATTATATTCAAAATATAGAATTTACATAATGCTCCAAAGTACTTAAGATTAATTTGAGTTTTGGCTCATGACATATGATCATCAAACTATTATCTAGGTATGTCGTTAATGAATATATAGATAAAACATTTATACTATTTATCTTTTTCCCCAAAACACACCATACTTACTTTTAACTAAATTTTCTTTTGTTCATGTTAATTTGTGTCTGGACTAAGGAATAATATATACTTGTTCTACACTATTTTGAAGAAAAAATTCTAAAATTTATACTCTGAAATACCTTTTTAAAAGTAGATATATACATCTAAAATTTAAATGTTCTTCCTCAAGAAAGAAAGAAAAACACTTGCTAAGAGAATGAGATGGAATCTCAAGTTGCTTAGCAATTAGCATATCATATGAATATTGTTCACGTACTAGCCGTCTCTCCTTTTTCAGAAAAAAATGCATTCGTATAATTTTATTTTATATTACAATCTCATATGAAAAAAAAAACATTTACGATAGTGTCGTAGTGAAATTGCATTTGGTATTGTCCTCTCCTCCACTCGGGACTCTGGTGCATTGAATCAACGATGAAAGTAGAAAAGGAAATGAGAAATGGTTACAAATCAGCCGCCAAAATAAAATTACAAATACATTCATGCTAATTATGCGAGCATTGACCTTTTGTAACAAGCACATGGGTAACAAATTTCAGTGTAAGAATTTTAGATGAACACAAAAGAAAAATAAAGATATTTATACAAAATCTGAATATCCCTTCATCTTTGAAGAGTGGTGGTAAACACTATTCTCAATATAATACTGTTTCTGGAAATTGATTAAGTTTGGCAAAGGTTTAAAACTCAATATTATTTCCAAAACATAAGGTTTAAATATACAGGTTTTATATTAAATTTTATTGTGAAGATAAAATTTCCAAAACATAAGGTTTTATGATACACAATAAATGATGTTTTGGAAAAATTGTTTGTTTCAGATTAAATGATGTTTTCTTTAATCTATGCATATTTAATTTGTGAGATGAGAGTAAATGTTTTTTTTGGTAACTGAGATAGTGAGATATATCATACATGCACAATGAACATTGCAGAAGCAAAGATTATATAGTGACTTAAAATGGCAAATTTAAACCAAAATAAAGAAAATAAACAAGCTAAGATATTTACACAAGAGTTTAGAATCTCTTCAAATTTGAAGAGTGGTCAACACCGTTTTCAATGTAATACAGTTTCCGGAAATTTGATTAAGTTTGGCAAAGGTTTTCTATTAATTTTTATATGTTTCCAGTACATACTTATTCTCATTTAGTTTTTCTTTTTCCTCTTCAATTGATAATGGTGATGAATGTTTATGCAGTTTTTAGTTTTAGATTTTGGTTTTTGGTTTTAGATTTTTGGAGTTTTGGTTTTCAGTTTTGGGTTTTTGTTTTTGCAGTAGATTTTGGTTTTTAAAAATTTTGAATGGTAATTTGTTTTGTTTTTGGTTTTTACCTACATTTTTTAAAAAAAATGTTGTTATGCTTATAAGTTTTAGTTTTTAACATATTTATTGTTAATAAATTCACAAAAATATAAGTAATGATAAAATTATCAATAAAATGTACAGAAGATTGTGTCATAAAATTAAAATAAAATAAGCTTATTATTGCACTTTTTAGAGATGTTTATAAAAAATGGAGATAAAATTTGTTTTATGTGTTTTAAATGATCAAAAAAAAATGTGTGAGATTTATCAATAATAATATATTATTCTGATTTTTGATTTTAGATTTTGATTTTTTGGTTTTTTGTTGTTGTAGGTTTTAGTTTTACAAAAAACTTGAATGGTGAATCTTTCTTTTACATATATTTTTAATATAAGATATTGACTTAATTATAAAATATGGTTTTATGATTTGTTTTAGTTTTTATTGCATTAAATATTTAAAATATTACCAAACAGTACCAAAACCAAATAAATATAAAGTATTACCGAACAGTACTAAAACCAAATAAATATAATTTATAAATACACATACTGTTTCTTATGAAATAATAAGTAATACCAAAAAATATCTATAAAAATATACATATATTTAAAAATGAAAAAATTTATGACAACTTCTTTAAAAAGCTCAAAAATTATGGTTGTTGGTTTTTGTTTGTAAAATACTAAAAACTATGAAAATCTAGTTTTCCTATAATTTAGGAAATCTATTTACTTAAAAACTTGAATGGTTAAAAAAACTGTTTTTTCAGAAACTAAAACCAAAAACTATTCTAAAAACTACAAACAGTCAAGACTAAAATTTGATAGATTGTTGTACGTATATTAAAGGATCATGTTGTACAAACTGAGGCAAAGCAAGGTTCTTTATACTCTGTATAGGCCAGCTTAAAAGAATATCACAAATGTTAAAAAAAGACATTCTGGAAAAAAAATCTTATTAAAAAAAAACATACCAAAATAGGACATCTGGAGAAGTTTTATATCAAATGGGACATTTTTATTTTAATCAAAGTAAACTAATGAACCTGCAAAGAGTTTTACGACATAAAACTATGAGATATTCTTGACCAATCATGACAATTATTTATTTGTAAAGAATTTATACAGTATGGCTTTTGGGGCTCGTGTCATGTAAATACGTTTTCCGCTTTAATTAATTTTCAAACTTTTAAAATCATGTAAAACAAACGTATTAACAACAAACTAACCTAAGTTCAGTGGAAAGAATGAACTCAAGAATGAAAGCCTGTATTGGTTGCAGGTTGCTATAATATTTTTTTCTGAAAAAGAAACTAATGAGTTCAAGGTTAATATAATTTTTCCTTTTAAAATATTAATCACAATTCTATACGGTAACATTTTATAATTACGGGACAAATTCACCGACGAAAGTCGTCGTCATCATTGATATCATTGTATTATGCGTATATAATGATTAATTAAAAATTAAAACCACAAAGAACTCCCAGCCTCGGTGGACTAAAAAGCCTAACTCGTGCCACTGTGTCTGTAGGAAGCAATAAAGTGGAAGGGTCAGAGGGAATCTGTGAGACTCCAAAATTGATTCCGAACAGCTTGAACTGTACCCTTTTCGTTTAAAATTAGTTGATACAATCAGTCAGGAATCGCAAATTCGCAGTATCATATGTGAAAAACTAAATTAACATTTCGTACAGTTTATTTCGGTTGGACATAAATATTGCCTTAAGACTTTGAGAAAAAATGGTGATTTATTTGGAGGGAGATAATAAGGAAAGCTGTGACATATTTCAAAATTTATACTATAAACTTTAGAGATTTTAATATTTTCTCTTTTATTCTTTCAAATTTATGGAAGATTTGGTTTAATATTTCAACAAAATTATATCGTTTGAAACTAGCCCTTGTTTTAAAAAGTTTGAAACCTAACTTTATCTTTATAATCTAATTTTATTATTTTCTATTAGTTTAAAGTTTTTCAAGATCTGTGATTGCAGTTTATTAATTAAAATACAAATAAAAGAAAGATAAGGAATGTCAAATTTTTTTTTTAATTCTATCATTTCAATGGTCAAATATATGAATGTTCAACGTACATGAAATGAAAAAATGGCCAAACTTACATAAAAATAATTACCTTAGATGATCATTGATATTAGAAAATAGTTGATTTTTTTCCTTTTTGTCAAATACTTATTATAAAACTAATATAGCCGAGAAACCTAAACTGCTGCAGTGTGCATGTACATAGTTTATAAACTTTGATGTAAACAAAATGTTTGATTGGTTTGTTAATTTAAGAGTAGAATAACAGAATAACTGAATAATAAAATAATGAAATCATTTGAATTACTAAACTGAAAACTGAATAAATTCAAAATACTAAAAAGCTAATATTTATCAGATAAATAACTTTTTAAATTATTTTGGATAGAGATAAACTTTTTCAAAATAAACAAACGTTCAAAACTTATTCATAGAACAACAATCAAATATATACTTTCGCTGAAAATTAGACAATTGATTCACTGTATCAAAAATAGAATCTACCTTTTTAAATGATTTAAAAAAAACTAAACCTAGGAATCTACTTTTTATGTATAATAATAAAGAATTTGGAATTTATCAATACAATAACCCTTAACTATGCATAGTTGTTTTTGTTTACATGTTGATAGTTATGCTAAAATAAAAGTTTTACAACCCACCTACCTTATTAGCACTTTTATGAAAGTGGAACACATTGCAACAAAGATGCAAGAAACAGTTAAAATAAACTTCAACAAAGAAAGAATTTTTTTTTTTAAAATCTAACGGGAAGAAAAGATTTCACATAATATTAAAATATGATCGATATTTGTTTTGATATTTGCAATCAGATCACAATGAGATCAATAATATTGCGCATAAATAATTTCATATACTATGCATAGTCGACTAATGCCGAATCTAACAATATTATATGTTAAAAAAAAACTGGCATAGATTTTCACATTAAGAAGCCAATTTCATTTTATAAGAATGACAATATGCATGGTAAAAACACTAAACAGAAAAGCTACATAATTTTAAAAGAGATGCCTTACGTGGCAAATTGCCAAATTGGTGCCAAAATATAACTTTCTGTTAATTGTGACCTCAAGAGAATTTGGTCGTACTTTACGGCAAATTATTTGTTTATGTTCTTCTGTTCCACTACGAGACTTCTCTTTTTGTTTATAAGAAGATAGATTTGAACTCTTGACATCACCAAGAAAGATAAGCAAATATTGATGAATGTGCTATTCATTGTTTTCTAAAGGGCATAGATTTTGTTGATTAATTGTTTCATTTTTTTATTTACATTCGTTAGTCAAATTACTATGATGTATTATTTTAAGTTTTTTTTGAGAATTTCTGAATCATCCAAACCCTTACCCAACTTTTACCTTACTTTTTTGGGTATAATTAGTATAATTTTGTTATCCTATCGAATGATAAATTTTATATCTGGAACTTTCCACTTCTGTTTTTTTTAATAGTAATTTTAAATGAATATTTAAGATAATATGCAATACCGGTCTAATATAAATGGTGGTTCTAAACTAAAAAAAAATGTGGCTTATTTGTAATAAAATATTAATTTTTTTTTTTTTTTAACATGTGGGTTTCAAAATTTAGTATATATAAACCCTATATCTATTATTTTTGATATATATGTGGCCATAAAAAATTAAGAAGAAATGTGGCTCTAAGCAGTGGCTTGATAATATGTCAAAGTTTCTTGAACTATCTGTTCGTGTCCCTTAACCCATAATTTCTTCTATGATGTCCAAAATTAGATTTGTTAACTAATAATTTTTTGTTTTATAGGTTTATACAAAAATTATAAATGTTTTTTTTGGTTACAAAAATAATAAATGGTTTACTGCTTAAACAAACAGCTGGCCCTTATAGCTCAGTGGTAGAGCGTCAGTCTTGTAAACTGAAGGTCCGTAGTTCAATCCTGCGTGAGGGCAATTTTCAATTTTTTCTAGTTTAGGGCCCTTTGTAGGCCCAGATTCTAAATGGCCCAAATATAACTTCCTATCCGTTTCACGTTTCATAGACAAAACACCTCGCCGTTTTTTTAAATTTTAACCCTTTCGCTATCTTCTGTAGCCTTCCTCTTCCTGCGTCTCTCTCGAAACCCTTTCCTAAAACCCTAGAACGCTTCAACCGAACAAGTTCGTCTTGTAGCCTCTCTCTCTTTTTCTCACTCACGACGAATCACAATGTTGCGCAGAAACGTTAGGTTAAGAAAGGAGTATCTCTACAGGAAAAACTTGGAAGGTGATGAGCGTCTTCTCTATGAGAAGAAGCGGAAGATTAGGGAAGCCCTGCAAGGTCAAGAGATTTCTTCCTCTCCTTTTACCATATCTATTGAACAATCGATAGCTTAATTCATCTCACTATTCGTTGAATCGATGCTTTTCGTTGCTGTAATTTGGGTTTTATGTTTTAACAGAAGGAAAGCCGATTCCTACTGAGCTCCGAAACGAGGAGGCGAAGCTTCGACAGGAAATTGATCTTGAAGATCAAAATACCGCCGGTAAGAATTCTCAAACGTATATTTGACCGATTTCGTTGAATTAATTGATATATTGTATGCATTTCCAATATAAATTCCATGTTTTGTTGAAGCACAGTTGTGTAAATTGTACTTATCTTATGGTATTTTTATATTAATACTGAATCATTAGTTAATAAGCTTAATGTTCGAAGTTACTGTTGTTCCAATACATTGTTTGTTTACCTTCAAATTCGCCTTTGACACCATGAGTAATCACTATTCATTCAATCGCTTGAATCTCTCTGTTAGTGTCAATATGGTATATGCTTTGGTTTGTGGCAGAACAGCTGATGGTTTTATCTTTCTAATCATGTTGTGAAATAGCTCCACGCAGTCATATCGATGATGAATATGCAAACGCAACGGAGAAAAACCCGAAGATTTTGTTGACAACGTCTAGGGATCCAAGTTCTACGCTCACCCGATTCGTGAAGGTACAATAAAGTTTTAGTTTCGGTCGTTTGCATAGATGTTAACATTATAGTCTAGTTTATTTTGAATATTTTGTTGGGTTGTTTCTGCATATTCATTGGTTTATGACCTTGAAATGTGTGGAATCTGTTGCAGGAACTGAAAATTGTATTTCCCAACTCTCAGAGAATGAATCGTGGTAATCAGGTACGTGTGTGTTCTGTTTCCCAATTGTTCACTGCTTGTGGTTTCTCGTTGATGTCGTTAGATTAAACACGCTAATGGTGTATTAGCTCCCTTTGGGCCATTTTGTTTCCTGGCTGTAACTATAGCATGTGCCTTAACTTACAATAGATCATGGTCAAGTTATGCCCAACATAGGTTCTAAAAATTTGAACGTGTAGCTGAGTTAGCCTTCAGATGTATTGCAAAATCAAGTTGGGAGTGTGACTAATAGTAACCATCACTTAGCTTGAGTTATAGTAAACACAATACACACCGAGTTTTGATCCACTTGTTTCTTTGCAGGTCATTGCTGAGATTATTGAAACCGCTCGTTCGCATGATTTTACTGATGTGATATTCGTTAATGAGCAACGAGGTGTGCCTGTTAGTCTTATTATCTCTCATCTCCCATTTGGACCGACTGCATCCTTTGGATTACTCAATGTGGTAAGTAAACTCTTTGGAGGATCTGATTCTGTTTTTTTTCAAATCCTTCTTCTTTACAACTCCAATGTTTTTGCTTAATCCAGAGCCCTTTTTGTTTAGGTAACGAGACATGAAATTACAACCAAGAAAGCAATGGGAAAAATGTCAGAGCAGTTTCCTCATCTCATTTTCAACAACTTTACAAGTCAGGTATATAATTTGTAGAACTGATTCACGAGTTTTGTACAATTCACTGCTCTGTTTCTAATGTGAAAAATCATGTTCCGTTTCTATTCCCTTGTTGTCGCAGTTGGGTAAAAGAGTTTCAAACATCTTAAAACACATCTTCCCAGTTCCAAAACCGGACTCAAAACGTATCGTTACTTTTTCTAATAATACTGATTATATCTCATTCAGGTAAATTTTTCTCCATAATAACCAGTTTCAACAGTTTTTGTTCTAGAAACCTTTATGTTGGCATTTGTTAATCTAATTATGTTCCTCTTGGCATATATATAGGAATCATGTCTATGATAAAGGAGAGAGAGGTCCGAAATCGGTTGAGCTTAAAGAACTCGGTCCTCGGTTCGAGTTGCGGCTCTACCAGGTATGCATTCGGTTTAAACCTGTTTTGAGTCTTCGTAGCTGAATCGAATCTGGTTTACACAAAATTCGGTTTCGTTTGGTTTGGTTTATGTATTCCAGAATCAATTAATTTGCTTAAGCACAATGCTGTATCTCTTGGTGATGCTATTTTTGTTGTTGCAGTTGAAACTAGGAACTGTGGAACAAGAAGAAGCAGATGTCGAATGGGTTATTAGACCGTACATGAACACTGCTAAAAAGCGCCAGTTTATCGGTGAATGATGATGCTAAAATGCACCGCTTCCAAACCGTTATTCAAACATTTTCTATGAGAGAAGTCTTGTAAAACTCTGTTTTTACCTTTGAATTTGTTGGAGAAGCAGTTAAATTTTTGTGTCTTTAGAGAAAATTGCGATTTTTGATCTCGTTGACTGTAATTTTTTCTTCTTCTTCTTCTTCTTCTTCTTCTTAATAACGTTCTGAATGAAAAGTTTCTCGTCTTAAATTAGTAAACATACCTATCACTAGAGTTGATTTTACTTTTGTTATTGACAATTTTGTATTGGAGTTCTTACTACGTTCACCAAAAAAGAAGAGTTTAATTTTTTTTTTATTTTAAGAAAAAATTTATATGCCAAGAAAAAGATATCTGAGCACCATAGAAGTGCTAAAGGGATAACAGCGACAGGGAAAGTGGATAACACAAAATACTATAATGTTGAAATAAATAAAATACAAACTATAATCTCTTTTAGTGAATTTTCATTTTCATTATCATTCTGTTATTCCTTTTTCTTTTTCTGTTTTCCGAATAAATATCTTCTTCTTCCCTTGTATATATATAATTGATAAGTACCAGGTTTCTCCTCGTCATCTCAGTTCTGCCTCGTTCATCTGATCATCGCATCTCGGTAATACTCTCTTCTTATTCCTCCGATCAGTTTTCCCAGATTTGATCTTACTCGAAATCGCAACATCAAACTTTTTTTTTGTTTTTGTTTAATCATTTGCTTCCCCCATTATTTTTGTTTTTGTTTTATTAATATCGAATTTTCTTAGCCATAATTTTTTCATTTAAATCCTATCCTTTTTACACATTCTTTATAAAGGCCATAGCCCTAACTTACCGCTCTGTTCTTCTCTTGCGAGTGTTGATTCTCTATAGTAGTGAAGTAGAGAGAGTTTTCTAGGGTTTATAGGTGTTTTATTGTTATTTTTATTTTGTATCGCTATTGTTCTCATAGAGATTGAATTTAGGGGTTTGGGTGTTTTGTTTTTAATGGCTCGGTTGATAATTCCTTGTCGAAGTTCGTCTCTGGCTAGGTTCAACTTTCTGGGTTTGCTCTCTCACGCTCCTGTGATTACTCTAAACTCTTTGGTTTTTGATTTGTGATTTTTGATTTTTGAATTGTTCGATGATAGATACAAATCGATAGACGTGTTTTAGAGGAGTATATATATACTTGTATTTTGGATCGATTCTGAACAAGCGAAATGGAAATGATGAATTGCTCGAGTTTGTTTGAGTCGTGAAGCGTGATCTTTTGATTCATTTCGGTTTTGTATGTTAATGATCTGAAGCTCTCTCTTGCAGGCTCCCGTTAGAAGCGGTTCTCTTCCATTTCGCAGTTCAGCGAAGAGAGTTGCTCAGTACAGGCCGTTTCTTACTTCCGAGGTTTTGTGTTTCTCTCCGTTTCTTTTCATCAACTGCCACATAATTTGAGCAGATAAAATGATCTTCAATGTTGTTCTTCGTCTCAGGCTACTTGTTTGAGGAAGAGTCGGTTTCTATCACATTCTGTTGATGTAACTCTCTCTCTATCCTTCCCTTATGATTAACAGAACCCAAGATACTGGATTTTGTGAAGACAAATTAAAAGAATTTCTGTGTTTGTTTGTTTGTCAGAGGTATAAGCAAAATAGCAGGAGGCTGATTTGTTCCGTTGCTGCAGAATCTGTTCCGGATAAAGTTGAAGAATCCAAAATGGATGCTCCTAAAGAAATATTCCTCAAGAACTACACAAAGCCTGATTACTACTTTGAAACTGTATGCTAGCCTTCTTTTAAGCTCCAGAATTGATTATATGAGTAGAATCACTGTTTATTCTGATCTGAATCTTTTTGTTTGTTTGTTCATTTAGGTGGATCTGAGCTTCTCTCTAGGTGAAGAGAAGACAATTGTTAGCTCTAAAATTAAGGTTACTCCTCGAGTTAAAGGTACAACAGTCGAGTACATTATTGACACTTCAAAAGATCAATGGTTTCTTTAAGCTGAATATTTAGTTTTAGTTTTTTTTTTCTTGCATTCGCTTTATGTATATCCCCATGATGAATATTTGCATTATTTTTCCCAGGATCCTCCGCCGCATTGGTCTTGGATGGAATTGACTTGAAGCTACTTTCAGTCAAGGTTGAGGGGAAGCTTCTAAAGGTATCACATTTTATGCTTAAAACTTGTGGAAATTTTCTTCGGATCTCTCTAGGCTCACTCTGTTTTTCTACATATTACATAAAACAATTTTTTCTCTAACATAATCAAAAATAACTAACTCAATTTCCTTTGTTCACTTTTCATATCTGTTTCACTTTGATATCAGGAAGGGGATTACCAGTTGGACTCTCGTTATCTCACTCTGCCTTCACTTCCGGCCGCGGAGTCCTTTGTTTTGGAAATTGATACTGAGATTTACCCTCACAAGAATACGTCACTTGATGTAAACTCTTCTGATTCTGTTTACTTTATTTTTCTTCTTCTCAATGATTTAAGAGGACACTTTAACCTTTTTAAGCTTCGTCTGTCAGGGGCTCTACAAGTCATCTGGGAACTTTTGCACACAGTGTGAAGCAGAGGGTTTCCGGAAGATCACATTTTACCAGGTTTTGATTCCTACTTTAGGTGGATAAGATGACTATTGTTGAGATAGTGTATCATGTATACTTACCTTGTATTTGAATATGTATGACTAGGATCGTCCTGATATCATGGCAAAGTACACATGCCGCGTGGAAGCTGACAAGTCACTTTATCCTGTGTTATTGTCCAATGGAAATCTCATTTCTCAAGGAGATACAGAGGTTATTAGCAAAATAGTGACTTTTTTTTTGTGTGTGGGCAAAATGTCTTCTCAGCTTGGTCTTTGCTGAGATCATACTTCTGTATTGAAATGTAGGGAGGTCGGCACTATGCCTTGTGGGAAGATCCATTCAAGAAACCGTGCTATCTATTTGCTCTAGTGGCTGGACAACTAGCGAGCAGAGATGATACATTCACCACGCGCTCTGGTAGGCAGGTGTCTCTTAAAATCTGGACTCCTGCAGAAGATCTACCAAAGACTGCTCATGCAATGTATTCTCTGAAGGCGGCCATGAAGTGGGATGAGGATGTAAGTTCTTTCAAAAGTTATGTTATACTGCATCTATTTGAGATTACTCAATCTGATTTTTTTGTGTGTGTGCGTTATCCTTTTCTCTAGGTGTTTGGCCTTGAGTATGACCTGGATCTCTTCAACATTGTTGCCGTTCCAGATTTTAACATGTATGAACAGATACTAAAGAAATTTGATAATATTGGTCCATTTGCTCATATCTTCAATCCAAAACAAAGAGCTCATGATTGCATGTCTTTTACTTTTTTCTTACTGTGGACAAACTAACTGATTTCTGCGTGATTTTCAGGGGAGCCATGGAGAACAAGAGTTTAAATGTAATTCTACTTTGCTTCATAAAAATAACGTACTTGTGTTGTTTTAAATTCTATCTTGATGGAAATCCATGAGCTTCTCTACCTTGCAGATTTTTAATTCCAAGCTTGTCCTGGCATCTCCAGAAACTGCAACAGACGCAGATTATGCTGCAATTCTGGGAGTTATTGGTCATGAAGTATGGAACCATACCATATGTTGTATATTGAATTCTTATCTTCCGTACTATTATCTTTTAATGAACGATCTTTTGTTGGTTTTTGTGCAGTACTTCCACAATTGGACAGGCAACAGGTCAGCCTCTTTTTATCCTCCCTTTATTACAATTGATTAATTCTTGCTGGTTGAATCTTCTAATTTGTTTTTTTTTATTCTTGTTTGTAATTTTGTATATTAAATTCCATAAAATACATTGTTAGTATGCGGCCTGGTATATGACCAAAACTCTATTTGTAACGACAGGGTGACATGCCGTGACTGGTTCCAACTCAGTCTAAAGGAAGGACTTACTGTCTTCCGTGACCAGGTTCATTTACCCTTCATTATTCAAAGATTAGTATTGCAATTTTTCTCTATTTAATGATTTAACTTCTCAAATTCTTCTGTGCAGGAGTTTTCATCTGACATGGGAAGCCGTACTGTAAAGCGAATTGCTGATGTTTCAAAGCTGAGGATCTATCAATTTCCGCAGGTACCTTGTCTTGTACTCCTTTGAGGCCACTACATTGGTTTTGTTTCCTCTTTTTCATGCTAAATCCTCTGCCGTTTACTTTTTCAGGATGCTGGTCCTATGGCACATCCTGTTCGTCCACATTCATACATCAAGGTCAGAGATTCTTGTTACTTGTCTTGCCTTGAAATTTATGATGTACGTGTAATCTTAGGTATTGATACATATGGTTCGTTTTCTTTCTCTGACAGATGGACAACTTCTACACAGGCAAGTTTCTGTTCGCTCGGAAGTCTTGGATTCTGTTATAGCAGTTTATTTTGTTACTTTCACTGTTGTGTTCCAGTCTAACGTGCTTGTGTTTTTGTAATCGTTCCAAACCTGCATCACGTGTCTGGCCATCATTCTACTCTTTCAGTGACGGTAAGGAACCAATAATTCGTTTTTATCTATAGTTTCATTTCCTATCGATCCCTTGTATATTATTTCTAACATAATGATTTGTTTTCTGTTGTCGTTTCAGGTTTATGAAAAGGTTTGGCTCTTGAATAATAGTGTTGCTGTCATATGCAGTAAGCAAGAAACCTTAGTTGACTGTATAATGTTTTCCTAGGGAGCTGAGGTTGTGAGGATGTACAAAACTCTGCTAGGAAGTCAAGGGTTCCGAAAGGTTGCCTTCTAATGCTGTTTTCTTGTGTGGATCTTGTAGTGAGATTTTATGTCGTGATACATACTTCCGCTCACCTTCTATATGTGCATATATTACAGGGAATGGATCTCTATTTTAAGAGACATGATGAGCAAGCCGTGACTTGTGAAGACTTCTTTGCTGCTATGCGTGATGCAAACAATGCAGATTTTGCTAATTTCTTGCAATGGTAAGTCAGTTTTAAATAGTGGAATTTTTGTTGTGAATATTATTGGTGGTTTCATACTTCTAAGGATATACCATATACAACATGTCAGGTACTCTCAAGCTGGAACGCCAGTTGTCAAAGTGGCCTCCTCTTACGATGCTGAAGCTCGTACCTTCTCTTTGAAATTCAGGTCCTGTTCTTCTCATGTGTATTCTATTTTGCCATGTTTTTACCAAAACTTAATGCACTGCGTTTGAAATTTAAACCTCTATAGATTTTACCTCTACGGAATTTGTTGTTGACACATATTCTTGCTTTGTACTTGATCACTTTCCCAGTCAGGAGACACCCCCGACTCCATGCCAGCCAACAAAAGAACCAACATTTATTCCAGTAGTGGTTGGTCTTCTAGACTCAAGTGGGAAAGACATTACACTTTCCTCTGTTTATCATGATGGTACACCGCAAGCCATTTCAAGCAGCAGCACAATTCTTCGAGTGACTAAGGTCAGTCGAGAATCCCTTCTTTAAACCAATACTATCTTTTGTAATCTATGTACGATTTCATCTGTTTCCTACTGTTTTTTCCTCACCGTATGTATTGTTTATGTGCAGAAAGAAGAAGAGTTTGTGTTCTCTGATATATCAGAAAGACCTGTTCCATCCCTATTTAGGGGATTCAGTGCCCCAGTTCGCGTTGAGACTGATCTCTCCAGTGATGATCTTTTCTTCCTCCTAGCCCATGATTCAGATGAATTCAATCGGTATGTGCCTTTCTACAACATATTAGCTCTTCTTTATTCTCTTTGCGCATTTCGATCATTCAATTTTTTTCTGTATTTCAGGTGGGAGGCAGGTCAGGTTCTGGCAAGGAAGCTCATGCTGAACTTAGTTTCTGACTTCCAGCAAAATAAACCGTTGGTTCTAAACCCAAAATTCGTGCAAGGTCTCGGCAGCGTGCTTTCTGACTCGAGCTTGGACAAGGTATGGCTCTACATTTCCTTCTCGACCCACGTAATCATACAAGGAAGTGTAGCATAAGACTTTGTTGTAATCTGTTTCTTTAATCTGTTCTGTAGGAATTTATAGCCAAAGCAATAATAATGCCTGGGGAGGGAGAGATAATGGACATGATGGCCGTGGCGGATCCCGATGCTGTTCATGCTGTTCGAGAGTTTGTCAGAAAACAGCTTGCATCTGAACTTAAAGCTGAGTTTCTAAAGATAGTATGTCTTCTTCTCTCTACATAGTGAACCTTTCTGTGTTTTCTTTCTGGAATTTCTTTTCCACTGAAACTTTTCGATTGTTGTTTTTTTCTGCAGGTCGAGAACAATAGAAGCACTGAAGCTTATGTCTTTGACCACCCAAACATGGCGAGGCGTGCTTTAAAGAATGTAGCGCTAGGTTTGCATTCCAGATTTATAGAAGGAGATGATGCTCTTTTACTTCGAGTCACTCACTAACTTCATTATGGTTTGTTTTGTTGAAACACTCCAGCTTACCTTGCATCTCTCGAGGATCCAGAGTTTGTGGAACTTGCATTGAGTGAATACAAGACGGCCACCAATTTGACCGACCAGTTTGCTGCTTTGGTTTCTCTTTCCCAAAACCCGGGTAAAACCCGTGACGACGTTCTTGCTGACTTCTATGACAAGTGGCAGGACGATTACTTGGTATGGAGTTTCACAAATTCACTTGCCTCTTCCTCCAGGATTTATCTATATGCCATTACTAACATTTGTCTCGGCTTCTGATCTCAGGTTGTTAATAAATGGTTCCTCCTTCAAGCAACGTCTGACATTCCTGGCAACGTGGAGAATGTCAAGAAGCTTGTGGATCATCCAGCTTTTGATCTGCGCAATCCGAACAAGGCAAGTGAAATCTCAGAACTCAATTCATTCCGCAACCATTTGTTGTTTCTCAGTTGTATATAGGCTTACGATGAAACCAAACAATAATGATCATTCAGGTTTACTCGCTTATTGGAGGGTTCTGTGGTTCTGTGGTGAATTTCCATGCCAAAGATGGATCGGGTTACAAGTTCTTGGGCGACATTGTTGTCCAGTTAGACAAATTGAATCCTCAGGTTAAACTCCCAGATTGACTTTGTGTCTTTGCAGTTACCTTTGTAGCTATAAACAACTTTAACGATGTATTTGTTTTCCTTTGGTCTGATGAGTATAGGTTGCGTCTCGTATGGTGTCTGCCTTTTCGAGGTGGAAGCGGTACGATGAATCCCGGCAAGCTCTAGCCAAGGTAAACGTAAAAAATCCAGTCTTGAATATTCTCTAAGAACACATAACAAACCGTTAGCATTATTACTGGTTCTGTGTCAGTCTTTGTTTTTTATTTGCCAAGTTTGATATTATGATTGGGTTTATAACCTGAGAAGAGGTTTTAGTAGATTAATTAAGCTGTGTTGTGTGTTGTTTTACAGGCGCAATTGGAGATGATAATGTCAGCAAACGGATTGTCTGAGAATGTGTTTGAGATTGCCTCCAAGAGTTTGGCTGGTTGAGAGAGAGACGTTAAGAGTCCTTTTAAAGACGTTAACTATTTTTAGTTAATGAAATAAGCAAATGGGTTATATAATAAAGTATCACAGATTGTTTTAACCTGTTAGTTTTTACTTTTTATAATGAACTCGTGCATTATTTATATAATCTGCCAACAGTGGCAAAGTCGTCATCATGCGATGCCTGTTGTTTATTGACATATCAAATAATGAATCTCACTGTGCCGATATCACAAATCTTATCGGCATCAAGCAAGAATTGGCATCTCAGGCTATCCTCCCAAGATTTTGTCTACCTATCGAATCAACACATTTGATAATAAATGTAAAGTATGGTCATAATGAGATTAACTAGAGAAGCACACAGTTGATGATAGAGATCTATTTGACTATCGATCTGAAACAGTTTACAAATCGTAAGTTCCTTTTGCATCGAAACAAAACCCTTTCATGTAAGAATAATTATTCTTATATGTGACATATAAACAACCGTGAGGGAGAAGTGAAGGAAAGAGAAAGGATTTTGATTCCTTGTCCATCAAAAGGGATCATAAGGTGTTTGGAGATTAAGGAGGAGAAGATCAATTGAAGTATTGATCTCATAACAAGTCCAAGAAAAACATGGATCAAGGTTAGTGTTTCTTTCTTCCTCTATAAGAAACTGTTAGGGTTGGATTAAAACAAATCTAGATCATTAAGGATAGATTTCATGATTGAAATCATTAATAGTAATTGAACATTTCACTGTTAAACAAAAATACAAATTAACGAGTGAATGATTAAAGTCCCTCAAAGTACCTTTACTGTCTGGATTCATCAACCTCATTGCTCCAATCAGAGAGACTTTCATCGTCGTCTCCAGACACTTGTTCTGAACAAGATTTATAGCTCCCATCAGAGATACTTTCATCGTCGTCTTCAGATTCATGGCTCCCAGCAACGAGAGTCTTTAAGCGAGTCAAGAGACGTTCAATTTCATCGTCGTCTTCAGATTCATGGCTCCCAGCAACGAGAGTCTTTAAGCGAGTCAAGAGACGTTCAATTTCATCGTCGTCTTCAGATTCATGGCTCCCAGGAAAGAGACTCTCATCATCATCGTCGTGTGTCAAGATCTGGACACCACATTCAACAATTTCGAATTCATGGGTTGAGGTGCTGAATTCGAATGATACCTCGTTGTCCTGTTCAAGCCATCCGTAATCCTTAAGCGATTCCAGCTTAAATATATAGAGATGTTTCCCTCGGATATGGCGTTGGAAAATCTTAATCCCTTCTTGTTCGTCAATAGGGCAACCGTTTAAGCTTATGCCACACAAAACATCAAAATATTCATCAGAAAGTCTTGCTTCGGTATGTGGTTTAGGGGTAACCACGACGCAGACTCTAAATCGGTAGAAAGATGAAGAGATGGTCAAGGAGTTTCCTAGAGCTCGGTGATTGAACTCCGCAGGTATTTCCCATCCGGGTAAGCATGCTACCTCGAGAGATGGTTGCTGTGTAACCACTCTCCTTGCTTCTCCGCCCAATTTGTAGCAGTTGGTGAAACCGAGTATCTCAATTTGAGAGTCAATAGGGAAAGGTGTTATCGTCTCCAGTGACTCGCAAGTTTTTACCATTAGTGCTGTGAGCGAGGGAGGGAGCTCTGGCAGTGATGCAAGTTTTGGACATCCAGATATGGAAAGACGGTGTAACGCAGGAAGATCTTTGATACGATCTGGAATTTCCTCAATATCTGCGCCAATTCGCTCTGGAAGATCTTCCTCCGAATATGGATATGGAATGATACTGCCGAATATAAGGAGAGTCCGAAGGCGAGACCAAAAACTAATTGTTTGAAGCAATTCTTCTAACATCGTGTCTGTAATTGCGAGTTCTGTGATGTTCCCGTAAATATTTGGATTTAGCCTCAATTGCCAGCATCCAACCAGATGGACTGTTGTCAGATTGAAGAGAGTCGGAACAACCTGTAGCTTTATACAGAAAGCCATTTCCAACATTGCTAGTTTAGGGAGATTTCCAATTGATGAAGGAATCTCCACCAAACTCTGGCAGTCGTTCAGACCCAAATCCTCGAGATTTGTAGCGTTTGAAAGATCCGGGAGTTCCTTTAAACACCGGGAAGATGACAAATTCATCTTCTTGAGATTTGTAAGGGGCTGAAGGTAAAACAAGACAAACAAAGTTAACAACATCAACATATGATCGACACAGATTTTATAGTTATTTTGGTAAATGCTTTTCAATTTATTTGAAAATCAAAACAAGATTCCTAAAAACTAGTTCAAGTTTAGTTATTATAATCACTTCTTCAATAAGAAACTGGTTTTGACAGATTTATAAATGTTTCCAAGTTAAAACTACAAAAGGCTCAAATCAAATCAGTGAATACTTCTACATGTTTGACTTAAAGTCATCTCTAAAGATTGGGTCAAAGTTCTAGATAGATTTCTGTATAAATTAAAATCCATAAACTGATAAACATAAGCAAATACAAAACACCAACCTGGGTACCTTCCCAAAGTTTCTCTAGCTTGTTGTATTCCAAATCGAGTTCCATAAGATATTGAGGCATAAATGTACGAGGAAGACACTTCCCAGGGTATACTTCCCAGCGTAATAGCCTTAGACGAGGTGGGAAATCCATCTCCTCGTGTATCTGCACTCTAAGATCTGTATCTCGTCTTGTCTTGTAGATACTGATAAATCGAAGATTATGCATATTTCTAAAAGCACTTTTGCTTATATACACGACGTTTGGAATTGTGGATATATCCAAAGATATACCCGTCGCATTTCTATTACCCTAAGCCAAATAAAATAGAACAAATGTTAGTACAATAGGTAAGAAAGTCTTTTTACCATTCTGGGAAAAAAAAGAGAGAGAACTTACATTATCTGTTTCCAAAGCACAAATCTCATTAGCAGTAGTCAAGAATTGGCGCTTCCAAGGCTCTTGTCTTTGAACAGCTTGTCTACCCACTTGTTGTAGCAACTTGTGCATCGTTACTTTACCATTGGTTGATATTTGTATGAGAGATTTGTAGGCCAGGGTTTTTAAACCGAATCTAACATCCAAGCCTTGCTCATTTAAACCGAATCTAACATCCAAGCCTTGCTCAGCGAGCATGGTCTTCACATGATCATCGCTTTGGTAGTTGAAAAACAATGCAATGTAGAGAAATAGCGATTGATCATCCTCATGTAAACTATCGTATCCAACTCGAAGTACTTCATCAATCTTTCGATCAAGGCTAGTTTCTAGCCTATGCAATATACTTTCCCAGTCAACTTCTCTCTTTCCCCGTAAAGTTGAAGCCATGACACGGAGACCCAAAGGAAGGTTGCTGCAGAGCTCTGTTACTCGTTCGACAAGCTTTTCAAAACCATTTGGTGCATAGCTCTGTTTAAAAGCAATTCTACAAAAGATCTGACTAGCTTCTCCTTCAGTTGGAAAACCCACATGGTATGTATTTTTGATACCACGTTGCTCCAAAAGCTCTTGATCCTCCGTTGTTACAACAATCCTGCTTCCAGGACCAAACCAGTTAGTTTCATAAGCCAAAGCCTCAAGTTGCTGCAGATCGTCCACATCATCAAGGATGATAAGCACTTTTTGGTCGCATAGCCTTTCCCGTATTGCACCTAAATGGTGTATCCTCTTACCATTTTGGTTCAAAATCTTGGAAAGAAGTTGATCTTGTAAGTGCAGTTTCAAACCATACTCGTCAAGACCACTGTGATAGCTTCCTCTAATATTCTCCATAAAACAAGTAAGCTGAAAACTGCTAGAGAGTCGGCTATGTAAAGCCCTCGCAACGGTGGTCTTACCAATTCCTGAAGGGCCACAGATTCCTACTATCATAGCTTCATCCTCATCGTGTAAATGTAACAAAGACTGCATTTTCTGCAAATGTGCTTCAATACCCACCATGCCTTCAAAATCGCTACAGATTGTAATGTTTAGTTTGTTTGACACATCAATGGCAATCTTTTCAATCATCTTCGATTCGTTGTCCCTAACAAGTGAGAAAAATCACCGTTATTATCAAAAAGTTATATGTGGAAGGGATTTGTAGATTCTATTGGAAGATATTCAGTAGTAGACATTTAAACAACCAGTTAATATATTTTTAGGCAAGATCTGCATACACTGTGTGTATTTTTTGTAATCTTTATTAGTGAGCTAAAATATTGTCTTCTCTGAGTACCGGTCTGAATAAATAACATTTGCACTTCTATAAATTACGTCTTTTCAAAATTTATGGTTACATTTTTTTCAATATAGTTGTTATTGTATATAATTTATATATTTTTATTATTAGTGGTTATATTTTTTATCATAGATAATTTGTGTTTTTTAAAATTATTTATATTGTTCAAAACTGTATAAAAAAATAATTTGATAGTGAATTTTACTTTCTTGTAATAACTATATATCATAATAGTATGTTATTTACATGATTTGCTATAAATAAAAAAAGAAAAAATAATAGAAAATCTAAAATATGATCGTTTTTCAATAATGCTAATAAATAGCCACTATTAAATCTGATGCTAATTGGTAGGGATGGACAAAAAAATGGTAACAAAAAAAACCAAACCATCTGGAACCGAAAAAAGTGAGATAGTTTGGTTATGTTTAAATCTAAAAGTCCATCTGATTATCAATTTTTTTTAGTTTTGGTTTAAGTTTGATATGGATAAAAACCATCAAAACAAACTAAATTTTTAAAAAATTATATTTTTCTATTTTCTTAATTTAGTTTAGGTTCATATTATATTATTAGGCTAAATTATCTTTATAATTTACTAACTTAACTCATAAATTTTAAATATAATATTTATAAAACATGTCTACATATAAACAATAAAAGGTTGTAAACTTTAATTTTCAATCAAAATAAAAACTGTTTGTAGTTAACTCCTCTTTCTTGACATTCAAATTTTCTAGTTCTAATCTCCTAGCTATTTACTTTTAATTTATCTCTATTGATTGTTTTCTAGTTATTGATTTTGAAAGGTTTGATACTTTGTTTGTTTTTCTGTTTTAAAATATGTTTTTATTTCATGATTGATACTCAAATTTGATTCATTTATGGTCTTTAAATACATTATAAGTTTACAATTATATTTAAATCATAAATAGAGATAAATTATTGTCAATATTTATATATAATAAATTGTGTATATAAGATATGTATAAAAAATATGAACAATAGTGAATGAACAGTAAAAACGATGATAGAAATCTGATTTTTTTTTAGTTTTTATTGATGGATTTCTTATGGTTTGGATTCTATTTTTTGAACTTTTGTCTTATTTCACACTTATCTATTATTACTATTCCTATTAACTCGATCAATTTTTTTTGTAGTAGTATAATTCCGAAAAAATCAAAACAAAACAATACTAAACCGAACCAAATTACATATAGTTTTTGTATAGCTTTAATTTTTTACATATGGTTTTTGTACCCACCCCTACTGACCGGAGAGGAGGGAGGGCATCTGACAAAACTCAGAATTAGCGAATATTCATTATATTTTGTTTCATAACAATTATTAGTACTTGTGTTATTTTATCATTTATTTTTTTTTTGTTTAAAATTATAAATTTTTATAAAAATTTATATTTTAAAATTGAATAAATACAATTCTGTTTGCGTCTTTTCGTTATAATTTTTTTCATAACTGTAATTAAAGTTCATGTATTTTCAATATTCATCAAATACATTTTCATTTACAACTGATTATTTTATGAAAAGTTCCATTTTTTACTACTAATGGTGATTCAACTTTATTAAAAGATAAATAAAAATCTGATCATCTTCATTATTTTTGTATATGCATATTTACAAATACATTTACTAAAGTAAAATGAACGAAGTCCATTATTACTTCATCGTGTCTTTATCTCAAACTTAATCCAATAAATATTTTGATCATATAAACAATTTTCTTTTTTTTTCTATGTGAAAGCTAGTTATTTTTATGTATATTTAACATAATTCAAAAATATGTGTTAATTTGTTAAATACTATTCTTTTTTGATTATGTAGTGTTATCTTATTGGTATAGCATCATCTTTTAAGTGTATATCCAATACTCAAATCTCTGATTGTGAGTTTTCTAAATTTTTTAAAAAAAACTATAACAACATGTATGATTTCTGTAATTTTATAATATATTTTTATTTTTTTAGTTTACATCAATTATTTTTATGGAAAACGTCTATATATTTATGATTAATTGATTAGTAATGTTATCTTCAAATTTTAATATATTTTTTTGTTTATAAATTTATGGTACCTAATATTTGGATTTTTTCCAATATTTCAGAAAAAAGAAAAGAAAATATATATATATAATAGTAAATCCACATTTATATATGCATTTTTAACTAATATATATTTGTTATGTACAGCCTTTTAATATTGGGAGTCTTTTTTAGAAACTATAATATTTTAATCTTTGTATTTTTTCACTTCTAAATATATTAATCTTAGAAAATATATTATAAAATTCTGTTACATCAATTTTTATTATATATTTTTTTTATAATTGCTATTGATAATTTTATAGTAATTTTTTTCAAAATATTAAATTTCATCACAATTCTTTGTTTTAACTTTTCAATAATAATTGTATGATTTTATAATCTTTTTGAAAGATTGCCTCTATTTTAATTTTTGTTGCTTTATTTTTTTATTAATATATACTTTTAATAATTATACAAATAGTTTAAAAAATCGCGTATTACATCATATTTTTATATTGTATATTTTCATATATAACTTTTATAACATTATAAAAATATACCTTACAAGATTGTATATCTTATTACTTTTCAGTTTTTTTATCTTTTCTATTAATAATTAGTAATAACAATTTTTAGAATATTTTTAAAAGTTGCACATTTTCATTTACAACTTATTGTAAATAATTTCAAAAATAAATTTGAAATCAATTTTAATATTTTGAATTGTTTATGATGTTTACATATTTTTTATTCATTATTTTTTATTTATTTATAATTATTTCAGATAAATTTTTGTTACTTTTCAGTTTTCTTATCTTTCATATTAGTAATTAGTAATAACAATTCTTTAGAATATTTTTAAAAGTTGCACATTTTTATTTATAACTTATTGTTAATATTTCAAAAAAAATTGAAATATATTTTAATAATTTTGAATTGTTTATGATGTTTACATATTTTTTATTTATTTATAATAATTTCAAATAAATTTTTGTTTAATCTTTAATTATTATTCTTAATTAAATAAAGTAAAACATGAATATTAATTAAGAAAATAAATCAGATCTTTTTGATCCACAAAGCAGACGAACCAGTTAAGGAAGTGCTCTCCGGCTATGTTGCCCACATCGGCCAAAGCTTGGCTCCATTTCCGCCTCTCTTCCTCCGTTCTGCGGCGACAAGTTTCACTGAAAGCTCTCCCGAATTCTCCGGTCTGTTTCCGAACATCAGATGGATCTACGCCGTAGAAGACCGTCATCACGATTTGCCCAATATCTTGCTTGCACTTGAAGATCTCCACCAATTCATCCAAACACCATCCTGAAGAAGCATAGTTCTTCGTGAGCACCACGATCGAGATCCTCGATTCCATAATCGCTTGAGTGAGAGCAGGACCGATGGTTTCACCTCTCTCGATGCCTTGATCATCGAACATCGAAATCCCATTGTCGTGAAACTGTTTGCGTAAATGACTGAGAAAGGTTTTACGGACGTCGGAGCCGTGGAAGCTCGTGAAGACACGGTATCTCCAGGTACGAGGCCGAGAAGAAGAAGAAGCCATGAGAGAGGTAATCGTGAGTGGTTCAAAATGGTAGATTCGCAGAGATGCGTTTTGGATAAAGCCATAAATAAGAGGAGAAAATGGCAAACGCGTACGCTTACTGTTTACTCTGTTGACTGACTATTGAGAGAGAGAGAGGTGAAGTTTCTTCGCTCATTCTTTGAAAAGTAAACGAATTTTTAAACAGTTGAGAATTATCGTTACAAACAAACATTAGAGAAGGAAAACAAAAAAAGATAAGATATATCGTCTTTTTTTTTTTTTTTTTCATTATCAAGACTTGACTTTTGGCAATTTACAAGAAGCTACAACCTTATTGATAATTGTTAGCTTGGGGTTGAATTGTAACCAACCAAGTTGTTTTCAAGTTTGAAATCTGAATTTTGCTTGGCTCTGTTTCGACTTTCGATTCATTTTTAATGATCCCATCGATATTTCTGGTTTTACCAACACTTTTTAACAGTTTGGAGTCTTACAGGAGTTTAGAGCGAAGGTTCATCAGAGAAATTATCATCTCATGATGAAATCATTTTCTACCTGCAAAAGAATTGACGTTGCCTTGAGCTCATTGTCTACTGAATCAGAGGAAGAACCACAAGAGATCAACTAAAAAAATTCTTACAAAGACGACAGAGAACAGAGTTGAAAACCAAAAATTAAAGAAAAAGAAACATATACTGTATAGAGTAGTACCTTTACAGTCTGGTTCCATCAAAATCATTGCTCCCATCTGAGAGACTTTCATCGTCTGTCTCCAGGCATTTGTTCTGAACAAGATTTATAGCTTCCATCGGAGATACATTTATTGTCGGATCCACAGAATTCATCTGAAAAAGATTTATAGCTTCCATAAGAGAGACTATATTAGGGAATAAAGTTTCAGAACAGTTATGTTTGTGAAGTTCTCAAGTTGTACAGAAATCATGGTTTGTCATAGAAAATGAGCTTAGTATTGTCACTGACAAGTAAGATCTGATGTGTGAATGATTTCGGGTTTTATCAGTTTCTGTATATGTTGTTTTCAGATATATTTGTGTCTTGTTTAATCTCGAGTTTACTTGGTTACTGGTTTTTGTGTTCAAAGTTTGAAGCCTTGCTCTTGGAATAGGAACCATTGCCTTATATTAGCATCATTGTATGCTCGACCTTAATGTTGGTCCATCATATTAACTTTTGAAGAGTAGAATATCTGAAAGGTTTAAAAAACCTGTGAAATTTTCAATTTCATTTTCGTTTGAGTAGACTTAAGTTTGATGAATTTCATTTTATTAAGCTGTGAAGTGGGAAGGACAAGAACAAAGTTTGGATTTCATATTAACACTTCCCTCAAAGTACCTTTACTGCCTGGATTCATCAAACTCATTGCTCCCATTAGAGAGACTTTCATCCTCGTCTCCAGATACTTGTTCTGAACAAGATTTATAGCTTCCATCAGAGATACTTTCATCGTCGTCTTCAGATTCATCATCATCATCGTCGTCTGTCAAGATCTGGACACCACATTCAACAATTTCGAATTCATGGGCTGAGGTGCTGAATTCGAATGATACCTCGTTGTCCTGTTCAAGCCATCCGTAATTCTTAAGCGATTCCAAATAAAATATACCGAGATGTATCCCTCGGATATAGCGGGGGAAATTCTTAAACCCTTGTTCGTCAATAGGGCAACCGTTTAAGCTTATGCGACACAATACATCAAAATATTCAATAAAATTAACCGCTTTGGTATGCGGTTTAGGAGTAACCACGACGCAAACTCTAAATCGGTAGAAAGATGAAGAGATGGTCCAGGAATTTCCTAGAGCTCGATGGTGGAACTCCGCAGGTATTTCCCATCCGGTTGAGAATGTTCTCTCGGGAGATGATTGCTGTGTAATTACTCTCCTTGCTTCTCGGCCCAATTTGTAGCAGTCGGTGAACCAGAGTGACTTAATTTGAGAGTCAATAGGGAAAGATGTTATTGTCTCCAGTGAGTCGCAAGTGTTTACTGCTAGTGCTGTGAGCGAGGGAGGGAGCTCTGGCAGTGATGCAAGTTTTGGACATCCAAATATGAAAAGAATGTCTAACGCAGGAAGATCTTTGATACGATCTGGAATTCTCTCAATATATGCGCCAGTTCGCTCCGAATATGGATATGGATAGATACCGCCGAATATATAGAGCTCCTGAAGGCGAGACCAAGGGCTAACTCTTTGAAGCATTTCTTCTAACATCGTGTCTTCTATTGTGAGTTGTGTGACGTTCCCGTAAATATCTGGAATTAGCCTCAATTGGGAGCATCCCACCACAGAGACTGATGGTAGGTTGAAGACAGTCGGAACAACCTGTAGCTTTATACAGAAACCCATATCCAACATTGCTAGCTTAGGAAGATTTCCAATTGATGAAGGAATCTCCACCAAACTCTGGCAGTCGTTCAGACCCAAATCCTCGAGATTTGTAGCGTTTGAAAGATCCGGGAGTTCCTTTAAACACCGGGAAAATGACAAATCCATCTTCTTTAGATTTGTAAGGCGCTGAATGTAAAACAAGACAAACAAAAGGAAGAACATCTTCACAGATTACTGTATTAAAACAAGATACCTAAAAACTAGTTCAAGTTTAGTTATTATAATCACTTCTTCAATAAGAAACTGATTTTCACAGATTTATTCATGTTTCCAAGTTAAATCTACAAGTCTCAAATGAAATCAGTGAATACTTCTAAACGTTTGATTTTAAAGTCAATCTTTAAAGATTGGGTCAAAATTCTAAATTAAGATCTATAAACTGATAGACATAAGCAAATACAAAACACCAACCTGGGTACCTTCCCAAAGTTTCTCTAGCATGCTGTCTCGCAAATTGAGTTCCACAAGATATTGAGGCACAAATGTCCGAGGAAGACACTTCCCAGGGTATACTTCCCAGCGTAATAGCCTTAGACCAGTTGGGAAATCCATCTCCTCGTCTAAGGCTATTTGTGGATTAAAGCAGTGAAAGTTTACATCCATCTGTGCCATCAACTCATTCACATTAATCTGTATCATTTATGCATTCGCATCTATCCATAACATATATGTATTCTCATCCATCCATAACATCCATGCATTGTCATCCATTTATCTTTGGTGATGGTGCGGTAGTGTTGGCTATCCATGCATTTGCATTCATCCATGTATTCACATCCATCCATAACATCTGTGTACTCCCATCCATCTATAATATCCATACACTCTCATCCATCCATTCCCGTCCATTTCTACCATCCGTGCTTTTCCCATCTCTACTAGCCATGCTTTGTCTTTCTCCACCATCCATACTTTCCTCATCTCTGCTATCCATACTTTGTTCACATCTCCTGAAGAATGGTATAGATTTAGGGTTCTTTTGTTGTTGATCAGAGCAGAAAGTGATGAAAACAATCTCCGTTAATATCTCGCTTGAAAATCTCTCTTCTTGTTTGACATTAATTTATGTTGGGAAAAGAAAGAGAGGTTTCAAAGTTGTAGAAAAGAGAAATAACAAAAAAAAAATTTCTTTTTCATAACAAAAAGTAACGGAAGAGAAGAGAAAGAGAAAAGGAGAAAAGAAGATAGAAGGAGAGAAGAAGAGAAAGAAAGAAAAAAGATAAAATTGTCTTTTTAGTTAATAAAAGTGCCTTAAAACTGGTAAACTGTCTTTTTTTATATTGCATTTTGCTAAAGTGCATTTGACTATACTATTATCTATTATATATCATGGATAATAAATAAATAAAAACAAAGAATCATCCAACTTTAAAAAGTGAACATAATTTCAAATCGAGTGTATTATGAAAAAGTCCATACTATGAGTGAGCACTGTTTAGTGTCTACTCTGTAGATAGAGAATCTATATATAATAGCAAAATAACTTTTTTGAACTGCTGATTTCATCATTTTTTTGTAGGAAAAAATGACAAATTTAACGGTTGACGTTGTTTTGATTAGTTTTGATTTAAAAATTTAATGGCTAGGATTTGTCTGCTGACATCATTCTCTAAATGTTAAAAAACTATAGATGTAATCTGAACATGCACATAGTTAAAAAATTGCAACTTTATACTTAAAACATAGCAACTTTACGAACCATTATGGCTTTTCTTTTTGGTTGCTAAAAAAAATTAATCTAGTTTTTAACAATCTTTGTTTCCAGATTTAACGGTTAAGATTAGATTTATTATATCTGCCTAACATATACATATTGAAAAACTGTTGCAACTGGTAAAATGAATATTTGCAACCATTTCGGTTACTAACCATTATTGTTCGGTGACTAACCATTGCACCAGTTGATGATCAATCATTGCACCCTAATCAACCATTGTAATCTTTGGAAGTGACATTTGGTTTCCTATAAAAGGAGTTGTGGGTATTGCATAAAACAGAAAACAAATTGAAGCAAAGTAAGTAAGAGAGAGTTTAACTATTCCAAAAGATCATAAACATTTCTGGAAAAATACATATCATAATTTCGATTACTATGTTTTATCCTAAAATTAATCTAATAGTTAACAATCTTTGTTTCCAGATTTGATGGTTAAGATTAGATTTATTATGTCTGCCTAACATATACATATTGAAAAACTGTTGCAACTGGTAAAATAAATATTTGCAACCATTTCGGTTATTAACCATTGCAATTATTCAGTGACTAACCATTGCACCAGTTGATGATCAATCATTGCACCCTAATTAACCATTGTAATCTTTAGAAGTGACCTTTGGTTTCCTATAAAAAGAGTTGTGGACATTGCAGAAAACATAAAACAAATTGAAGCAAAGAAAGATAGAAAGAAAGTAAGAGAGAGTTTAACTATTCCAAAAGATCATAAACATTTTCTGGAAAAACACATATCATAATTTCGATTACTGTGTTTTATCCTACAAGGGTTTTTGACTAACTCAAAGCTTGATAAAAGTCGAAATACTCTTTAAAGTGTCATTGTGCAAGGTTTAATCATCAAGTTTATCATAACAGAAGATATCTGTATTCCAAAAACACAAATCAAATAGATTTTTAATGCGTCTGAAAATTGAATACGAATATAATAAAAATATAAATATTGGGATACCAGAATTTTATAATGAACGAGGTATTAATTTTAATTGTTATTTTTATGGATTTAAGTTTTATTTGTGTTATTATAAATTTTTATTCTTCAATTTATTTTATTTTATTTTAGGATGTCCATTAAAAATTAAAGATGCAGGTATTTACACATCATTTATTATATATATATAGATTATTATAATAATATGGTATATAATCTTAATATCATAAAATTTAATATTAAATTTACTATTATTTCAGAATGTGTAAATATGCTAATGGATGTTGAAAGATCTGAAGCAATTGGTAGAGAAAGTTACAATGTTCTATTCTCGAATGGTTTGTTAAAATAAATTTCAGTCACTAATTAATAATCAATTTAAATTATTTTCTTAAGTAATTTTTATTTTCTGGGAAAATAGGTTTAAAAAAATGAAAACATTGCCAAATTCCAGAAGAAAACAAAATAAAGGTACTTACATATTTGTTATATAATTAATTAATAATAATGAAAATTTGTTTTAATAATATTATAAAATATTTGGCAGACAAGAAAAAAAGGTTATAAAAATTAGTGAACATAATAAATTAATGAGGTGTGAAGATTGTAATGCTTTAGTATGGTTTCCTGAGAGCACAGAAAAAAAATCGTATTACAAAATGTCCTTTATTTACTATTTATTGTAAACAAGGTCGTGTTAAATTACCTAATATACAAGAGCCTCTTGTTGTGCTAAAAAACCTTTTATGTGATTCCACTTTTAAGAAAAACATTAGAATTTTTAATTCAATGCTCTTTATGTGTTCTATGGGTGCTGAAATAGATTATTCAATCTTAAATTCCGGTGGTCTATTTTGTTTTAAAGTACATGGTGAAAATTATCATAGTATCGGATCTCTTTTACCAATTGATGGTGAAAAGCCTAAATTCTTGCAGATGTATATATTTGATACATCTAATGAATTACAAAATCGATTATCAATTATGAACTGAGAGGGTAAAAAAATTCATTAGATGAAAATTTTTTATCATCATTAATTAATATGCTTGATGAAAATAATATTTTAGCTAAATTTTTAGAAAAGCTAGAGATATGTATGAAAGTGGTCATATTTGTGAAATAAAATTCATATGATAGGATATGATAAAAGGAAAAGACAATATAATCTGCCATCAGCCAATGAGATAGCAGGTTTAATAATCGGTGATTTTTCTAAGACTACTGGCGAACGAGATGTTATTCTTCAACATAAATCAGGCAATTTGCAAAGAATCTTGGCAACTCATCCTCTTTATATGGTTTTGCAATATCCATTATTATTTCCTTATGGAGAAGTTGGGTTCTTCGAAGGAATACTATATGTTCAATGGTCATCATCCGATCACAATAATGGCTATGTTAAAATGACAGAATGTTATATGTATCGTATACATAACAGAAACATCAAAGCATCCACTATTCTAAAAAGTGGTAGAATATTTCATCAATATGTTGTAGATCCGTTTACGTCTATTGAGGCAAGCCGTCTGACATTTATTAAACTTAATCAAAAGGCAATAAGAGCTGATGTATTTAATAATGTAAAGAACGCCATATCAAAGGGAGATCATGATCCATGTAGTCTTGGTAAAAGAATTATAGTGCCATCATCAATTACTGGAAGTCCAAGATCTATGACAGAAAAATATCAAGATATAATGTCAGCTTTGTCGTTGTTTTGGAAATCCTGATTTATTTATTACCATGACTGCTAATCTTAAATGGAATGAAATAAATGAATATTTAGAACTTACCGGTGATACATCGCCCAATGACAGTAATGAATCACCAGTTTTTCATTTAAAATTAGATGAGTTAATGATTTTAGTTAAAAATAATAATTTTTTTGGACCAATAAATGAATGTAGTTATATTTATGTTTGAGTTTTAAAAACTATTCAGATAAAATCTAATTATTTATATAATGTTATTTTTCTTTTTTCTGCAGTAGTTTATACAATTGAGTTTCAAAAAGGGGTCTCCCCCATGTACATATTCTTATATGGTTAAAATGTGGACGTGATATTGCTTCCTCAATTGATATTAATAAATATGTTACTACTGAATTGCTTGATAGAGTAATTGATCCTAAATGTTATGAATTAGTAATATAACATATGATGCATGGACCATGTGGACTTAATAGACCAAATAACTCTTGTATGGAGAATGATGTTTGCACTAAAAAATATCCCCGGCCATATTGTCTTTCATCATGTATTGATGAAAAATGATACATTATATATAGGCGTAGAGATATAATGTCTAGCTATGTTATGAAAGGTGATATCAAATTAGATATTCAATATGTTGTTCCCCATAATTTAGAGCTACTAAGGCTTTTTCGAGCACATATTAATGTTGAATTTTGCAATAAAACAAGTGCAATTAAATATCTAATCAAGTATATTACTAAAGGCATTGATAAACAATTGCAATAACAGTACAACTAATTCTAATGTAGTTAAGTACGATATAAATGAGATTGAAAATTATCTTGATTGTCGATATGTATTTGCTTGTGAATCGATGTGGTGAATTTTTAAATTTGAGATACATCATCAACATCCTCAAGTCCAGAGACTAAGCATACATCTTCCTCGTCAGCAACTTATGTTTTTTAATAATTCAAGTGATTTAAATAGTGTTGCTACTAATTATGAAATCAGACCAAGTATGTTTATGGCTGATTTAGAGATGAACAAATCAGATCCGGATGTCGGAATGTTATCATATGTTCAATTTCCGTCAAGGTATGTTTGGAATAAATCAGATCACACATGGACAAAAAGAAAAAAAAGTCAATCAATTGGAAGATTGAATAATGTTCATCCTTCGTATGGTGAACTATATTATCTTAGAGTTCTAATTAATCACCTAAAATGATCTACAAGTTTTGA